CCCCCAAATGCTGACACACCCAGTACACAAATTCAAACAGTTACTCTCGTAACGTTTGAAGATATTAAAGCCAATGGAGTACTTTTCGCAATACTTAGCACATTAGATATTCCCTGGATGTATTGAAGGTTGATCCCCCTGAAGCAATCTTTGAGCTAGATATCCAATGGCTCTGGCCACAATTTCACACGTGTTGCTATTGAAGATGGTGTGAATTGAACAACACTGAGCCATTCAATATAATAATACATTTTGAATGTTAAAGTGCTCCAATATTGGGAGTCTGCCACTGAAAAATTCCCAAGATAAAGCCGGGACTCTGCTCCTGAAGCAGATCCACGGATTTCACAATTAGGTAATGGGCCATTGTGTGTATAAACCAGAGTGCTTCCACATTTTTTTAAATGCTTTATTTTCTTGTTCAAGAGCGCTACCACTGAGCTAAACCATTCAGATGCTGATTGTCTGCCACAGATTAGATTCCCAGCGTTTGTTGGTTTGATTCAGAGTTCCAGTGCTCAACAATTTGTGGTTTATTAAAATTAGGCAGTGACGTACTTGGGTCAGAACTGGGAGGTAGGGGACTGAAGCAGAACCAGATAAAACTGAAAGAAATTTTCCTTCTAGGGTAGAAATTCCCTTGAAGATGCAGGTCCTCGCACAATCCCACGTTTTTACCATTTACGATTAAGTACGTAAGGTTTAATGTGGGATTTAATATGCCTTTTTTGGATGCAGCACAAATAGTTCTTGGGAAGTAACTTCTTGAACCAGAGCACATGCACTTATTCCACCAAGGAACAGTGACATGCACATGCGATTATTTATGGCTGCATTTGTTACTAGTTTTGTTATGATAAATCACTATGCAAAGTATTCCATTGGATAGGCCACTGCTTTTGAGAGAGAACATATGACACTAATAATAATAATAATTATTATAATCCTTGCATTTGATATAACAACAACTTGCACTTGTATAGCGCCCTCCAAGCAGGGTAGTGTCTCAGAACGCTTAACAGTGGCAGAGCCTGACTCCGAGCCATTGGGGGTGGGTGGGGAGGTACCCGTAAGCACGGTCAAAAAGGTTTTCAGGCAGGACATGAAAAAGGGGGAGAGGGGGCAAGGCGGAGGGATTGAGGAAGAGCGTTCCACATGTGATATAGTGCCTTATCACATCTTCGAGCTTCACAGAATATACTGCAAAGTGAATTGAATGTATATTTTGTGGGTGAAACGCGGCAGCCAATTGCTCAAAGCAGTGTCCCACAAACTGTTGAAGATTGAGTGACCACATTTTTAAAAAAATGTTCTTTTTTTTGAAGGGATTATTACCCCCGGAAAAGTGATCCCCCAATCGACTAACAACCGGGTTCCTATTTACTGCTAGTTGACCAAAGTCATGTGAAGTAAGGAAACTTGCCCAATGTTTTGCCCTGCCCTGGCAATCGAACCCAGGTCCTCTCGCTTGCGAGGCGAGTGCTCTAACCACTGAGCTTCAGGACTCTACATATCACTTGATCACTGCACTGCTTGTGAAACATTGGCATTATTGGTACTGTTACCAACATGTCTCATAGCACTTTACCACAATCAACAACAACAAAATTACAATTTTAAAGTGCCTTTCACATCAGGAAGACATTCCAAGGTGCTGGAGAGCAATCACTCTCACATGAACTGTTTTTTTGTAAGCAAGCAACAAAGTTCCATAAACAGGTGGTGAATGATCAATTTGTTAGTGGGATTGTTAGTTAGAACTCCAGGAGAAATCTCCTACTCTTTTGAATAGTGTCATAGGATCTTTACCATCCACAGATAGACGGAATAGTGGTTTAACATTTTATCCGAAGTACAGCACCTCTGACATTGCAGTGCTCCCCCACTACTGAAATAATTAATAACATTGATCCACTTCCAATATTATTTGTAATAAACAGTTGATTCTATGTTTAATGAGACCAATGACAAGCTACGTGGTTTTAGTTTATTAAACTCCAGTAAAGTACACTCTGGGGTCCCCAAGTCTTGGCACTCGCTAACTGAACCTAATACTTAGATAAGTAGGGTGAATCCGTCCAAAGAGAGAGAGAGAGAGTGTGCATATTCCATTCCAGACAAAAGTTTCCATGTGTACTTGATATACATATGTGGAACTTTTAGTCTGGTTTACACCCCCCGGCTCAGAGTCAGGCTCTGCCACAGTTAAGCGCTCTGAGGCGCTATCCTGCGTGCAAGTTGTTGTTGTTGCTGACACTTTCCGCCTGTGTCAGACACCCGGCTGACAAAAAAAAATGCATTATATCAAGTGAGATTCTTCACAATTTTCACCCTTATGTAGCTTGAGACCATCTGAAACAAACTGCGCAACTTTGGATAGTTTATGGAACAAATTCGAACCACAGTTTATCTGTGCTACATTTTCCATAATGTACAAGACATCTAAAGAAAATGCAACCAAGAAATATGAAAGATGATGGATTTGTGGTAGTGATATTTGGAGGACGCACATCAGGAACTCAATGATTTTAGGAAAACCAGTGAATGACACTTGTCACTGATGACAATTATGTCCAGTAATGTCAAAAAAAAAAATTCTGTAACCACCAATCTATGGTATACTTATTTACTGCAGTTATGGGAATTATTTCATGTTGCCTTTTTGGATGAATTTACCCTTTAATTATATGCAGTGATGTCATGTTCCAGGTTATATTTATGCTATTTATGTAGCATTTTGGTCCGTTGAGAACTCAGCATGTTCTTAGATACAGCCTTAACATGGAAGCTATTTTTCTGTAAATTCTTTTAACTAAGAAAAACAACTTTAAAGCTAAGACTGAATTCAGCAATTTGTTGAATTCTGGGCACCTTAAAATGCAACTTAAATAGAATGAATCCAGAACCAGAGGGAATTTTTCCCCATAACTGCTCAGAGAAATTTTAAACTGGGAATTTTAAACTTTAGATTGTTTAATCTAGGATCAGGTGGGACTCTTATTAAAGCTATTGACAGACAAGTTTCAATCTGGACTGGATTCAACCCACAGCTGACAGTGGGCCAACAAACTGCATTGCCATGGTTAAAACATTAAAAATATATTTTAACTAGTATGTTGGTCCTTTATAGCAGTGGTTTTCTGTAGAATGATTCATATTGGAAAGTTGCTGCAGCCTCGGATAAATCTAAGGATAGTCATTACCAGTGCTTGTACTATCACAAAACTTGCAGTGACAGAGTTTGCCACAATGAAATGCGTGTGCATGTAACTCATTGAGGATATTAATTAAGAACATGTAAAGAACATGCAATTTTACAACACCTTATGTCAAAACATTGAAAGTGGTTTATGTGTCAGCCTGGCTCAGTTGGTAGCTCTCGCCTCTGAGCCAGAATGTTCAAGCGTGGTCTACATTTGAACTTTGAGTTCACAGTTTAGGATGATTATTGGAGGTGCCGAGTGTGGTAGCAGATGTTAATAATAATCCTTGCATTTGATATGGCACTTTTCACGTCTTCTAGATGTCTCAAAGCACTTCACAGAATATACTGAAAATTGAATTGACTGTATATTTGTGGGCGAAACACAGTAGCCAATTGCGCAAAGCAGTGTCCCACAAACAGTTGTGGATTGAAGTGACCAATTTATTATTGTTTTTTTTCTTGAGGGATTATTATCAGGCAAGTGGAGTAAAAAAACTTGCCCAAGATTTCGAACTGCTGGGAATCAAACCCAGGTCTCTCACCTACGAGGCAAGCGCTCTAACCACTGAGCTACAGGACTCCTGAAATGTTAAACTGAAGTCCCATTTGCCTAGTCAGGTGACATTAATCCCATGCCACTATTCAAAAAGGGAGATTCTCCTGGTGTTCTGGACAATATACAGTACGTTTACATTTAAATAGAGGCATTCACGATGGGAAGTTGCCCCAAGGCGCAAATTGGCTGCTGTATTCGCCTACAAAATACACAGTCACTACACATTACAATGAATCCTCAAATCCATGAGATGAATGACTAATTTTATCTGATAGATTGTTTGCCAGAAATGGAGAAAGCCCTTTTGTCCGAACCCTAATGAGGACTTCAGACCCCCTATCTCCTGGATGATAGTCCTCTGAGATACTTCCTATATCGTAAATCAATTGAGCAAATATCTCCATTATTCAAATCCCACTTACTTTTCTCGGGCAAGAGGTGCAGATCAATCACATAAAATTAATCATAACGCATACTCAGGAATGATTGTGAGACACTAATATCACATGCTATACTTGACCTGAGTCGGGAGATATATCTGATTCGAAGTCTGTTGCACATTATATTATTTTTTGATGGTGAACTGTATATAATGCAAGTTGTTGTTTGAGTTTGGCTTTATACTGCTTACTTTCCATGTTTTGGGCACAGTTATGGCATAGGGCTGCTGTGCTTACAGCTGTGCCCTTGCTCTTGGTGAGAATGAAAGCACATCTGTTCAGCTTATTTATAAACTATTAATACCTCATGGGAGCATGTTTCTGGCTGGGTTGTTACCTTTTGTATGTGGAATAAGGAATACATTCTATATCTGTGAGTTGACAAGCATGCATCTCATGCAGCAATGAATCTAGAAATGGTCACAGATGCCCAGAAATATTTAAAACAAGTAATACGACCCTACTCCCCAGGCACTAACTCTGATCTATCAATTCTAGGCTGCTTTGTGGCCCCCACCCCAGTATTGGTGGGTGAACTTTCAGTGACTTTGTCCCCACTCTCTGTAAGTCGCTTCCAAATTCTCTCCACCCTGCCCCTCCCTCTATACTTTCAAAACCCATCTAAAGATCTATATCTGGCTGTGCCTTCAGTCACTAGACATCTATCCTCCATTTCCTTCCAGTTCAGCCTCCAACTCAGTGGTTTAAGATATTCTCCCTTTGTAAAATATGCCATATAAGTGGAAATGACTCTGTTAACTCAATAAGAATCAAAGTTTGAGCCTTTCTGTGTGCAGTAAAAAGAGGTACTCTTTATTACACAAGTAAATTAATAGAGTCGAATGTAAAAATTGTACACATTGTTCACATGCAAAGCGCTAGTAACTGCACCTCCCTGGAAAGTGCCTAAATTTAACAGCAGGGCACATTACATAAATATGCAATCAACTCTAATATTATCCCATTTAATGAATAATTAATAATAGCATTTAAAGAATATTTCAATAATACAATTAAATAACAGCATTTCATTATGGCACATCTGCAAAGGTTGTAGTGGTATTTAGATTACAGATAACTCCACATCCCATAAATTCACCACATTCTTAAACGTTTGATTACATTATCGAGCATATCAAAGTACAAACAAATAAATATAAAAATAATCTTTAAATAGGCTTACTTATAGAAAATAAGTCCACTTTGCCACTTAAAAATGATTGTTGTCCTCTTATTCAAAAATGTACATTTTCTAATCAGCAAGTTGCCAGCAACGCTTCTCTCTTGTTTAGATTGTTTTTGGTTAGTGACTATGGAAACCCACCACCATACTTAAGAGTATCCAAACCTGACAGAGTGCCACATAAACAGTATATGTCACCTATGCCTGGAAATTTCCGTGTCTGGAATGGTATGATAGTGTCTTCTTCGAGGGATGCACCCTGCTTACCTGTAGAGTAATAGGCGCAGGTTGGCAAGGACTAAGAACCTTAAAGTGTGTGTTGGGGTACTGGAGTTTTTCCAGCTAAAAAAATACATTGAGCATTGCCATTTAGAGTCTTCTGGTAAGCTTCCTGCTCTTTGTCTAGCCGATAGGACTTTAGGTTGTAGGGTTAATAGGAGCCAAGGTGGAAGGATCCCTGTCTCTCCCCCACTATCCCCACCCCAAGTGATTGCACTGCCCCTCCTTGTGACTGTCTGGTTTGTCATCAGCAGTGCCCTGGAGTACAGCAGATCCACTTGGCTCAGGAACTAGAATACCGGGAGCATCACAAAGGGTTGGCTCATCTCGGCTGTGTAATGCACATCACCTTGAAGCCAGCAAAGCTCATCACTGAATACATGTAATTCCATAGAGTGTAAGTCTGTCACTGGTTCTCAGTAAAACCGCCGATACAAAGAGTACCAAGTTATTTACTTTGGTCTTCAATTGCCAATTTAAAGCAGCCTGCACATTAATATGATTTTAATCAGACTTTAAAACAAACCCACAGTTGCTTTTAGGGCCCCCCAGCCCTAACCCCATGGTTAATAACATCATCTAATTACTTTTCATCGACTTAACCTAAAATAGTTTCCTGGTGTAAAATAAATTCCAGTTCAACTGTTTGCATTGCACTACAGATCACTGACATTTACAGAAAATGCCATTTAATTTTCTCTGGAAGTCTAATTCTCTGGGTGGTCAGAATGTCTGCCAGTCGACTCAGAAACATGAGAAAGATGGTCATGGACATCACAATGACATAATGACTGATGCTGTAACAGAGAGAAAGAACAATCACCACCATACATACTTCTCAGATTCAGAAGAAACTACTTCTTTGCAATGCAGATTCTAAATCGAACAGTATATTCATCTGGTCATAATAAGACTCATTTTTGATCACTCCTCCCAGAAAAGAACAGAAAGTAATTGTGTATGATACTTTGCAACATATCAGAAGAATTATCATCAAATAAACCAAATGTGGTTCAATGACCTAAGTGCACCCATCTTTACATGTTGTTAGTTGTAAGGCCCTGAAAACAGAGGGTGGGAGAGTCCACATGAAGATAGTACATTTTGCATGGTCTGTAAAAGGGTGCATAATTAAAAACTATTTCTGCAAGTAAGAGATTTGAGAACAACAAGACATAAATTTAAGATAAGCAAAAGCATGAAAGGGAAAGTTGGGGGAAATAGAGGGTTGTCAAGAGTATGGAATGAAATAAAGATCTCCCAGAGGGTTGTCAAGAGTATGGAATGAATTACCGGGGTGACTATTGGGGTAGAGTCTTTTGGGTGTTTAAAAGCAATTAGATTCCTTGTATGTCTTATATGGAGGAAGGGTATTGGAGGGTGCAAGGAAAGAGCAGGGGATTTGGATAAGGAAACAGATGGCTTCAGTGGAGTAATAAACGCCGATAATAATACAGTAGGTTGAATGGCTTCCTACTGTGTCATAGATTTCTATGTTTATGTTCTTAAATGTCGTGTGAAAATTAATGGTACGGAGGTATTGAATCCACTTTAATGCAGGCATTCATATCAGGATTCATCTACTACTCGCCTCATGGGGGGGAGAAGAAAACAATGTGCAATCCTAACATCACAACACACACTGTAATTACCTTATACAGTACTTATATACCAGCAGCATAATTCCCTTAGCCCACACATAATAAAATACAACAGTCAGTGTGACTCATGTGGCATCGAAAGGCTCAGTGAGGAGAGAATGCAGTATGTCGCTAGAATTATCAGGGAGGAAAATTCTCTCTTCCCCTAACTGAATAAAGCAAGCCCCAAAGTAATGTTCTAAACAACTCATTTATTTTTGTACATTTGCAATCAGATGTACAAAAATAAATGAATACATAAAGTTTTTTTTAAAATCATGGGGCAGTAATATCGTTACTGAGTAAAACGCTCCACCAAAATCTATAAAACGCACATGAATGCACACAGATTATAAGGTAATCAAAACTTTCCCTTGAAAGTGTGATTGACAGCATATATGTAAGCACTTTATAAGACAACTAAACAATCAAGTTGCCAATAGCAACTTTTAATGTTTGTTACAGAGGTGGGGTGTGGTACTAATTCTGTCTGTACAGTAAGTTGGTTTCATTAATTCATGACAGTGTAAATTAGATTGCAACCCTCTATATACCATTTATCAGGTACTGTGCATTTGATCCTTTCATACATTGGTTCTAGAATCACAGAAAATTATGCCCCACTATTGAAACAGAGAAAATAAGAAACCAAAATCTAATATCACATAATTTTGAACTTTACTGTAAATAACAAACAGGAACAAGCTCCATAATATGCATACTTGCACCAAAAAGGCATATTTATGATTTTGGGTGAATATTTGCATTCACCAGTGCAAGGGATTTCAGTGTTGAAAATGGAATACTTCCTCCACTTTTGTCACTTAGTCACAGCACCAGGCACTCCCAGGTCAGATATAGTAAGATCCAATTTAGAAAAATGGTTCCTCTAACCTACTTCACCAACCAGCAAAACACGCTTTGGCTTGCAAGTTTAACAGTAGCTGAGTGGGAAGAGTCCCTGCCATCCGTGACTAGTTTGCCCTTCCAAGTCCTGCTGACAAGCAAGTCTGGCTAGGCTGTCAATCAGCAGTGCCCTGGAATACTGCAGACCCGCCTGGCTCAGGAACTGGACTACTGAGACGGTTGCTTGATTCTGACATTCCATTGCCAAACATGTCACCTTGGAGCCAGTTCAGCTGAACATCATCTCCAAGGAGACCTTGCTTACCTCTCTCAGAAGGATAGTCACTAGTTGGTCATTTGACATCCTACAAGCATGAGTTTGAGCCAACTATTTGGTCAAAATTATCCTTTAACATTCTGTTGGTAAATATTTTCATTTTTAATGAAGTGTGTTGATGACTTCAACAGAGGCACTGGGCTTCAGTTATTGAATTTATCAGACGGTCTTCAATCATGGGTACATCAGCTGCATGTTTTCCCTGTGTTTTACTGCTTGGAGTTCGTGCAATCACACCATCTCTATTCTGATATATTTGTTATTTTCTCAAATATTTATTCTGGTAACTCAACTGTAACTGCAAACATTACCATCATGGTTAAACTGAAGTCAGCAGGGTGGTTCTTAAGTATTAAATTGACAAGGCATTTGATGCTATGTTCTCAGGCCAAATCACTTCAAATAGAACTGCTGGTTATGAGGTTTTGCATTCATAAGCTCTATTTAATAATTTTACGTCAAGCAATTCTGTAAGTTCAGTTTTGTATATTTATAGATTTACAAATTTACAAGCATTATTTAGCTTAAGTTAACAACAGGAGCATCAGTACATAGCTGTACAGGAAATCCCACATATCAACATCCTTTCTGGTTTCTGAATCTGAGGCTTTGAGCCAAATATATGTAACTTTGGTCAACTTCATAACAGTGGTTGGCCTATTAATTACCTTTTCCACCTCCCCTCATCCCGTCAATCAGAATCAAGAGCCACAAAGATATGATCTTCCAAGATTTCCTATGGAATGAGAGCTGTATAACTTCTTGCAGGGAGGAAAGACCAGAAATAGCAGGTCTCCAAAAGGAAGAAAAACATCCAAATACTTATTGAAGAAGATTTTTTTTCTAAAAGTTCTTTATTTGGCTAACACACCACATGACATGGTATAATTTCAGAAAAATTTCTGGTTTGATACTTGGGCTAGTCAATCTCAGCCAGTTGGCTTCAGTGTACCGTCTGGGAAAAGGGGGCAAATATGTTTAGCATAAGATTCCCATACCTTGTTCCGATATCCAGCCAACTTCCATAGTCTTTTACCAAAAAGAAGAAATGCTGTAATTGTAAAATTTATAAACAGATTCCATTAGATACAACCATCACTGAACCATTGTAGAAAGCTTGACAATTTTCAGTCGACTAACTTTAGTTGAATAGGTCTGACTTTTCTACATTGAGGCATCCTTCACTTGGGAACAGTTACAAATTGTGAACAAAATAATTCTATTGTAGATAAGCTGCACACACTTGGTCAATCACATTGATCAATGTCAAAGCCAGCCCTGCCAGACTGACCATCCAATGAAACAACCAGCTCTCACTAACAAAAGTGCAGTTCAACATCAGATATAGAATGGGAGGGATGAGATTCATCTTATTCTTCCTTTTGAAAAAAATACTCGTATTCTGTACTTTCCATTGTTAAACAAGTGAGGTGCTTTTGTAAATTCTCTCTCCATACAAAAATGTTTCTTTCAAAATATCCTCAACGTTTCCTGCAATTTACATCCCGTGCCCCCCACAAACATTCCCTATATCTTTACCATTATCAATTTACAACCACAGAATATTCCTTCATTCCAGAGATTATTCTTTCATATTTACCCACTGAAACCTTTCAGAATTTCAAAACGTTTGTTTTGATCCCCTCAATTGTAGTGGTCAGTGGGATCAATGATCACTTTTGGGTTGAATTTTATGCTCACCTGGGAGAAAGATTTTAGAGCCAGAGAATTTCCCATTTAGGGCATTCATTGTCAGCATCAACTCAGGTAGGACACATTGAGGATAAAGCTGCCTCTGCTACATCCAACAATACATCTCAGCATGAATTATTGTGCTGGTGTGACAATTTTCACTTCTCCTGTCCTGTGTTTTATGTTTTCTGCAAGTTTAATGGCAAATTATGTACCTCTGTCTACAAGGAACTTGAAACATTGATGTTTAAAGAGCCTCATTTCAATTTATTTGGTAAGAAACTAAAAATATGTAGCACAAACTAAATTCTGGCAACATCATCATAGGCCCACCATTATTTATTACAAGGACTCTAGCAATTTAAAGAGAAAGACTCGCATCTTTTTAGTACAGCAAGAAATGCGCAATATTGCTGGCCATGCCAGCATCGTTTACATCCCGAAATGAGTAAAATGAAATGTTAGCAAGTATTATCAATTTATACAACATATTAAAAGTATTTGTCCACAATAGTACTCTGTGAGCTTTTACAACAACAATGGGGTAACATATCAGAGCGAGTTTAGTTTACCATAATATTTGTCTGACTTACCAAAGCCATGATGTCCGAGATCACAAGCACAATAAGGAACAAACTATTTTGAAAGAATACAAAAAGGCGTTCTTAGGATTTAATACTAACCATAATATTGAAAAAAATCTTAATGAAATATCTGGAAAAACACCAATGTTGACATTATTATTGACATTCACTGTACATACCTGTTTGACGATAACTGAGTTGAAACCTGAATACTTTCAAATGCGCACATTACAATCACAAAAGGAATCAGTATCTGCAAATAAAAAGAATGACTTGAAAATATCTTAAAAATAAAGTATTTGGTTCATATTTCGTACCAAAACAAAGTCATATTGTCATTGAATACAAATATTCCAGGCAAGTCACCTATGGTCCAATTGTGGTCACCACACTTTAGGAAAGATATCAAGGCTTTGGAGGGAGAGTTACCAGAATGGTACCAGGGATGAGTAGCTAGAATTGTGCTCCTTAGAGCAGAGCAGGTTAAGAGGAAATTTAATAGAGGTGTTCAAAATTACGAGGGGTTTTGATAGTGGATAGGGAGAAACTGTTTCCACTGGTAGGTAAGTCGGTAACCATGGGACATAGATTTAAGATAATTGGCTAAAAGAACTATAATAATAAATAATAATACTTGCATTTGACATAGCGCCTTATCATATCTTAGAAACATCTCAAAGCGCTTCACAGAAAATACTGTAAAGTGAATTGACTATATATTTTGTGGGCGAAACGCGGCAGCCAATTGTGCACAGCAGTGTCCCACAAATAGTTGTGGATTGAGTGACCAAGTTACTTCTTATTTATCTTGAAAGAATTACGATCCCCGGAAAAGCGATCAGCCAATCGACTAACAATCGGGTTCCCATTTACTGCTAGGTAAACAGAGGTGTGTGGAGTAAGGAAACTTGCCCAAAGTTTCGGCCAGAAAGGAGATGAGAAGAATTTATTTATTTATTTAAACACAGAGAGTTGTTACGGTCTGGAATGCCCTTTCTGAAAGGGTAGTGGAAACAGATGCAATAACAACTTTCAAAGGGGAATTGGATAGGTACTTGAAAAGGAAAAATGTGCAAGGATATGTGGAAAGAGTGGGACTGATTGGGTAGCTCTTCTAAAGAGCCGGCACAGGCATAATGGGTCAAATGGCCTCCTTCTGTGCTGAAGTATTCTATGATTCTATGAAACTTGGAAGATTCAGTCATTCTCTTCAATAGATTCAAAAGGCAAATCATCTCTCTTACATAAATGGTAGATAGACACTGCCTTGCCTTCTTCATACACATTTTTCCAGGCATAGGTAAGCAGGGTGTCTCTCTCCCCCTCTCGCTGAGTGAAAATTATTTGATATTTCCTCTTCCTTTTGAATTGACATCAATTCCAGACAGGGCGAAACCTTGGGCAAGTTTCCTTACTCCACACAGAGCCTAATAATAATCCCTCCAAAACCAAAAACAATAATAAATTGGTCATTTTCAATCTACGACTGTTTGTGGGACATTGCTGTGCGCAATTGGCTGCCGCGTTCGCCACAAATATACAGTCAATTCACTTTACAGTGTGTTCTGTGAAGCGCTTTGGGACATCCTCCCGACGTGAAAAGCGCTACATCAAAAGCAAGGATTATTATTATTATTATTCCTCTCCTGAGAACACTGAGGCCAATTGTCTCCAACTGCTTTCTCTTGTGAAATCAGCAAAATCTATATACTAGAAAACAAACCTGGGAATCTCTTCGACTCAATGTCAAACCATATAACATTTTCACTATTGAACAAAAAAAATTACAATTTAACATTTCAATAATCTACCCTTTTCTTCTGAATTCTCCACTATAAACTTAACAATGCGCTTCACAAGCTTGGAGAAAATATTTATTGAATGTGAGGCACGCACACACTTCCAGATTGCAAACACTTCTTGTCAACAAGGCCATGTACTCAACTGCTTATTTTGGCTTGAGTAATTGATCCCTTCCCTCATTTAGTATAACTGGAGCTGCAACAAAATTGTCCCTTGTCTTTCTTTATCCAAGATCTCAAACATCCAATGCAATTTTTTTGTAAAGCAATTATGTATTTTTTCCAGGCATAGGCACAGGGTGTCTCTTTCCCTCTCACTGAGTGAAAATTATTTGATATTTTGTAATACATAACTGCTTCACAAACATTGTATAAGACAGCTGCATTTAATGGTGCTCATATCCTGTTGGTGAGCAACAAAAACCAATACATTGCAACCTTCAAGCAGAAGAATATTTTGAAGGGTATCATAAAATGATTAGAAATGCATTAAGCAACTATTCTTAGACAAAAGTGGCAGCTAATTTGCAAATAGCAATGTCCCGTAAACAACAAATTGCGTAGCCAATTAATCTGAATTATTTGGGCTGAATTGCGATGAGGGTATCAGTCAAAACAATGGGAAGAATCTGTCTACTCTTTGAATTACTGGCATAATTAATGTTCACTTGAGTCACAACGTAACAAGCACAATTTCTGTACATAGCATCCTTCACATGAGTTGCATCTCAGAGCAATTATCAGCAAGCGGTGCGGTTTGTTGTTGAGCTGAAAAGGGAAGGAAGGTGACCTAAGGCACAGTCTAAGAGGAAAGTCTTCAGGTGTGATTTGAAGGTGGGCAAAGATGGGGCAAGACAGAGGGATTGAGGTAGGGGTTCCAGAGATTCGGGGCATAGTGGCTGAAAGCACGGATGGCAATCGTGGAGCGGAGGGGACGAGGGACGTAAAGAAGGCCCGAGCCAGCTGAGCAAAGGCGTCAGGCAGTTGAGGGGTTGTGAGCAGACTGGAGAGGTAGGTAGGTGCCAGGGTGTGAGATGATTTGAAAGTGAGAGTGAAGATCTTGAAATCAATCTGTTCTGCAACAAGGAGCCAGGTAATAACTGTGATGATGGGAGTACAGAGTCTGGTAAGAGTGAGCACACTGGTGGCAGTGTATTATATTATTTGGACCTTGCTGGGGAAACCATTTAGGAGTGTGTTGGAAAAAATGGAGGCAAATCTATGCAATGCAAACAGTATCTCAGGTGAACAACTCATTTGAAAAAGAAATGATTGTTTGGAAGAACTTAGTAAACAAACAAACTGCTGCTTGGATAATAATAATAGATCAAATGGAGTGTTAACTCCATACCCACCCGCCCCACTTCCCAACTCCACTGGAGCATCATATTAAACCACAAGCTCAATGTACTGAGAAAAGTTTTGAGCCCTCAACTTTCTGAACTCAAAGGAGAAATTGCTGCCAACTGAATCCGGCTGACACAGACAGAAAGAAATCCAAATTGTTTTGTCCCAACAGAATTGATTTATTTTGCAATAAAGGCAGCAGTATCTTAAATATTTGCATTACAAAAAAAANTCTTGTTGGATGTTTGAGATCTTGGATAAAGAAAGACAAGGGACAATTTTTGTCGCAGCTCTAGTCAGTTAAAAGTAGACCAAAGAGAAACTCTCTTGGCTTGCCAGTCATCATTGGATGCTGGTGTCCTCAACATACTCTTCTTTCTTGTTTTGACACTGGGTCTACTGAATTAATTTGTTTGTCAGCTTCAATGAACCTTTTCATCAAGGCATTTGTCACCTCTGCATCGATAAAAAGCATCAGCCTCTTGTACATCACCCTTTCTTTGTCAGCCTGAGCAAATGTCACACAAGGCATGATTGAAACAAATTAAACAGAAAATATTGCATTACTGCTGACAAGAGTGAAAGACCATTATGGAGCCAATAAGATCCTTAATGATTCAATGAAATATAAAATATTTCATTTTCCACTCTGAAATGAGACATGGATCAAACTGGGATCAAATTAGTGAACATTATATATTTTAATATTAATATTGGACACTTGTAGAGTGCCTAATCAAAGTGAAGTTGAGCATTTGATAAAATACCAAAATAGTGACAGCACAGATCAGGTAGGTATAGCTCTGTAACAGTTATATGGGGCCTGACCTTATACAGAGGCTAAGCTGCTCTTTGGATCTGACAAATGAAACTGTAGTTAGAGATTCTGATCGTTGACAGTGTGCTACTGGCTGCTGATCAGTGACATAGATGGGCAGTGACTGAGAGAACTAGCACCTCGGGGAGAAAACTCACTTGCATATTAAAAATGGGCGAGTGACTTTCAATATCTTACACAAAGAAAAACTATCACTGCAATAATAAAAACAAATGTATAAACCAACATAATAACATTTTTTGAAGTCTGTACCATTTCTCCAAGGATTAGTATGGCACATTCCCCTGTTAAACACATTTTCAAACTTGCAAATAATCCATCAACGAGAATGAACTGCTTAAATTACAGTTGCACAAAATCTAAACCAGTTAAAAAAGTTAGAGATCTTAGGCCTGACGACAATATTTTGTCAAAGTCAACTACCATGTAAAGGATTATCAACTAACAATGAGTAATCACTCTACATTTATTTTCGATCGTTGTTCGATTGAAGTATGTGGGTGAGTGAACAGTTGTGATGAAGCTATGAATTGGTGAATTATTAGAGTACAAGGAGGAAGACAAGATCAATCCACCCCCTCCAGCCCATTACAATCCATAAAGCTCGAGGTCTTTTAGATCAAAATGAAAACACCAACCTTCCACATCATTAATGCGCCCATCACAAAAGGGTTAAAAACAGTCAGGAAGCAGTACACAGAGGCAGGATCAAAACTGGGATGAGATAGAAGGTATCAATGAATTTAGTATATTTTTCTTTCTTAATAAATATATTCTTCTCCTTCCTATCCTCCCCTTTCCCTCAATTCTGGCTTTTAAAAATACATAGGATAGAAATGTCTAAACATTTTAACAAGTGTAAGATTTCTCCCATAGGATTTACAAATATGCGTACTTTAAATTTCTAATCCTGAGGTTATAAAGCAGATTTGGAGAACTATAAAAAAAGAACTATTCCAAGAAATCTTATTATGAATATTGAAATTTCAGTAAAACACATATTCTGCCTGCTTAAGCGCAACTGCCTACCACCCATCCCCCCCACCCCACACACACAAAAAAACCTTCCTAATCATTGTAATAGATTTCAAATCCCTAGTTTAAATGTACCTGTTAACAGAAGCTATATTTCCAGTTCCAAAGAACGCGGTCACAATGAAGAAAGTCTAAAATGTCTTAGTTAAGGTAAAATCCATAGATTAAAAATTTAATTATCATGAAAGAAATCCCTATAATAGTCTTCGAATTTGAACTGTGTATTATCCTAGTAATTAACTACTAGTCATAGTATTATGTCAGAAATGAAATACTCAATACCATTTTAATCCTTGGATTAATTTAAATTCATTCTGGAGTCTGAATTCAGTAAAGGAAAAAAGTAGAGAACAATGAGGCCAAAATATCTACCTGAACCACAAGAGAATCACTTGCAAGAAGGTAAACCTTTCTAGGCTAATCTGCTGTAATAAAAGACAGACAGGTAATCGTTCTACTATTGCACAGAAATAGTAAAATTAACCTTTCCTTTTGAGATATTTTAAAAATATATCTAACTTATAAAATGCTCAGTTGATTTATGGAAGGAAGAGAAATGTGTAAATTTAAAAGGCAGCACCAAGCTAAGAACTACTATAGAATCTAAAGTTAACAAAAAGACAAATTCTGTCTTATTTTGTCAATTAGATTCACAAATTAACAAGCATAGACCCTGAGTTCCTTGTTTCGTGATTTGTAAATATCAGCATTTTAAAACTTGTTTTGTCTCATTTCCAAAAAGGTAGAATAATTTAAATGTCACTAGAAACACAGAATCTCAAACAATAAAAGGATACAAAGAAATAAGATCTTCTTATATCGTCAAGTCTGATCTGCCGAAGCTGTGTTCCATCTGCCTTCTGGGCAAAATCAATCATGGAGAGCTGTAAAAATGCAAACACATCTCAATCGGGTTCAAAATGCAGAGATTTCTAACAGGACTCTTAAAAAACGAATCTGAGTGAGTATCCTTCTGGTAACCAGTATGTCATGCATACTTGCGAGAACTGAGCTCTGAAAATAGATCAGATTGGAGCACATCTGATGGTGTGATGTGCTTCTAGTTTCCTCATTAAGATATCCTGTTAGAAATCACCTCATATTAGACCACAATGACAAGGGAATTGCCCTAGTATGATGACTGCACCAAAATTATTTTACCATCATTCCGACAATAGCACAACTCTAGTTATTTGCCAGAAAATCTACAATTCAATTTTGAACAGTCTATTAATGACATCAGGCATAGTTTTCAAAGCTATAACAAAATGTACTGGTTCATAAAAGGAATCCAATCAATTGCAAGCTCTACTGGAAATCTAATTCAGAACTGGATCATTTTACAATACAAAGCTTCCAGTATGGCCAGAGAATTCATGTGGCCATATTTGCATATTCATATCTGTACTAATGGATGTTTAATGCTGAAATGGAGGATAATTTACATTTAGAACAATCATTATAGTTATTGAAATACAGTCAACTGCTTTCAATTTTCATTGAGGGAAATTGGGTCCAGAGTCCTACTGGGTTCAACCACAAGCGATGGTATTGTCCTTCAATCAAGCTGTCTGTCCTTATATACTAACCTTTACTTTACACCAACTGTATGCCACTGCTAAACTCCATCAAATCTCAACTGGGTACAACAAGATTGGTGGAAAGGTAGATACAAATGTATGGGTGCTTTCTAGACCCTACATATTTTGGATGGTCCCAAAGGGCCTAAAATATAGCAAAAAATCCTGCAAAATTAAAGGTAAGTTGATCGTGGCTGCAGAACCTGTTGAATAGGCTTAAGTTGTCACTGTACAGAAAGCGTTTATGTAACTATGCAGAAATATTTGAAGCCGCCCGCAACAGGCTATACTGTCCCTGTTTAAATGTCAATTTAAAACATCTCAACTTGTTTTGAGGCCACTGTGATGATGCCAAAATAATGGAACTTATTGTTACATGATACTCATCAGTGGAAGAGTTCTGCAATAATATAGCAAGAGGATTTGGGATCCAAAGACAGGTAAACCAATCCACTTGTGAGTCTTCTCTGAATTTAGCAGATTCCAGTCGATAACAGCTCACTAGATTCGACTGAATTACAGAAGAACAACAAGAGGTGACCGTAAGCACAGTCAAAAAAGGTTTTCAGGTGGGTTCTGAAAAAGGGGAGAGAGAGAGCAAAGTGGAGGGATTGAGGGAGAGTTTTCCAGAGTTTCAGGGCCCAGTGGCAGAATGTGTGACCTACAATGGTGGAGCGGAGGGTGCGAGGGACAAGCAGGAGGCCGGTGCCAATCGAACAGAGGTGCCGGGTGGTGGATTGGGGAGTGAGGAGGTTGGAGAGGTAAGGAGGTGCCAGGGAGTGAAGGGATTTGAACACGAGTGTGAGGATCTTGAAGTCGATCCATTCAGTGATGGGGAGCCAGTGGAGCCTGACTAGAACTAGTCAGATGGTGTCATGGAGTTTGTCTGGGTAAGTTATTGTAAATACTGCATGTAAATTATGTTTTCCATTGTACTGAATTCTATAATCCTTGCCTTTCTTATAAATAACGCCTTTCTTGCCAGGAGGACAGCTCAAAGCATTTCACAGGATTTACTAACACGTAGTCACTGTGTATTTTGTTGGCAAATCCTATTTACCTACAATTGGTGCCATATTGTATTGACAGGCCTCTCAATGTCAAGTAGACTATAACAACATTTCAAAACATTGAGTCTCATTACCTTCTGAGCAGGAGAAATACCATGTATCTGCACCGTTTCCTGTTCCAGGTTAATCCAAACAAACATCAAGCAGCAGAGCACTAGAGGAAATAAAGCCTCATATCTGATAGAAACAAATTGTTAAAGGCCAAACTTCAGTAGTATGTGTACAACACCGAGTGAAATCTGCAGCAAGCCGCTATATTTACCTCAATTTTTACTTCAAATTAGTAACACATAGAAAAGATTTTCCCATTGGTCAAGGATTATTTACTTCAATGCATCCTTTTTCAGTATGACAAATAAGTAATCTAGGCATGGGTTGCTCCATGTACTATTCAGATCACAGTCAAAGGCATGTTCTCTTTAATCTCATTAGATGTCTGAGTGGGGAATTTGAGGGTAAGATACTGTACCATTTAGACTAAAAACCACAAGCATAATGGTGTGAACTGAATACCTTAATTATGCTATCAGGTTACAGAAGAAATAGGATGAGACTTTATTTTTCAAAACACATTGGGAAAGAATTGTGAGCCTCCTCCTAAAAGGAGAAGGTAAAAAAATCATCACTCATTCAGTTATTGAAGTGTTCATTAATTCAACTCCATACAGTTTTGCTTGATATGCAAAATGACATTCCAATATACTGATATTTACTTTCTAATTGTATTATGCGTGTAAAAAAAAAGCAGTTTCAAATTTACTTCAGAACTGCAAAATAAATTCCGATATAAAATAAAGCTAGCTCAAAGATTCCATTTTTTTTAATACCAAGCTGCAGTGATGGACCTGCGAGATCTATTATTCAAGCTGGATATTGTATTATTGTATCATGATGGTTGGCTTAGCTTCAATTTCCTATTTTCCCTGCTTGCTGTGGGTGGAAGGGAAGAGTTTGTAGAAGTCAAACGCAAAAAAGGGACAGTTCTAATGCCCTCATGTTATGAGGCATATCCGAAAAAATAATTTACACCAAAAACACACAAAATACTTCCTTGTATCGATTTATTAATCTACCTACAAGGAGAAAAATCCTATTTGTATGGATTATGTAATCATTTTCATTTCACTTTTGTATTGTGAAGTCTGATGTACATGTGAAGAGCTGTAACTTGAATTACTGGGATATGTCTGAAGATTGATGATCACATTGTAATCAAAGACAAGTCAACAATTCTTGTCTCGCTGACAGCCTACCCATTTGAGACAAACATCCAATGTACTTCATTGTACTATTATCATTTAATAATCCTTGCATTTGATATAGAGCTTTTCACGTCTTCTAGACGTCTCAAAGTGCTTCACAGAAAATGCTGTAAAGTGAATTGAGCGTATATTTGTGGGAAAAACAGGGCAGCCAATTGTGCACAGCAGTGTCCCACAGACAGTCGTGGATTGAAAATGACCAATTTATTATTTTTTTTGTTTTTTGGAGGGATTATTATTAGGCGTGTGGAGTAAGGAAACTTGCCCAAGGTTTCACCCTGCCTGGAATTGAACCCAAGTCTCTCTATTTATTGACTATTATAATAATAGTACTATTATAATAATAGGATTATTTATTTGTCAGGATGTATTAACTTTTTTTTATTTTACACCTAATATTCATTAAAACTAAATTAGCTTAAACAATTAATTCACACCAGAAATTCATAAAATAAAATAATTTCTGTATATCTATTTAAAATTATAATAATTTACCTGCATGGGAAAAACATACTTGTTTGGATTATGTAACCTTTTCATTTCATACTACAGAAACGCTTAAAAGTCTGTGTACACGTGAAGGACGGGACATCCTCCCAACATGAAAGGCGCTCTATAAATGTTATTTTGTTGTTGTTGTTGAAGAGCTATAACTTGATTTAAAGATATGCAGAGTCGTTCCACTTTATAGTATATTCTGTGAAGAGCTTTAGGTTGGCCTCGCAGCATGGATGCACTATACCAAGTGTAAGGATTATTATTATTAATTCATGGAAATGCAATTTACTGAAACTATATTATGGACCTAGATAGTCGTCTGAAAAGTCAAAATCTATATTTTGTCTTAAACTTAACATTCGTGATATTATTAAACAGTGAATTTTCCAGGTGCTAACCCTAATTAGCAGTTCAGATGATGTCTTAACTGTTGTCTATAATCCAGGAAAAATTGTAATATGTAATATTTACACATAAACTGTTTATAGAAGTGTTTGTAGTTACAGAATTTAGTCTGGGAGTGCGAGACTGAGGAATTTCTTTGGTTGAATTTCCAGGACTGGGAAATCTGGCGAGGCAATTGATGTTGGCTGGCATGGAGTAGAAACCTACTGTGAGATGAAAGATACCAGCAGCCCTCGTGGATTTGTATTACTGGCCTATGATGTTAAAATGAAGTGTTAATATTTTGAAATTGTGCAGTTTTATACAACAGGTGTGGTGTTATTTTAGTCATATACTATTGGATATATAAAGAGTATCTCATTGCAACAAGATGGAATTATAGCAAAATAGTGCCATTTGCTATAAGCAATATGGTGATAGTAACATGCTACCAGACATGGAAATGAACTAATAACATTTGCTAACATGAATTAAAAACATTGCATTGTTAAATATTACATAATCCTTGCACGACAGTACAGATTGTGATACCATAGATTCCATCGTACATTGCTCTGTAATTAGATTAGTGAAAGCATATAAAGCAACGTTTGCAAACCCAGTTTTTGCTCTGACTCCAGCACTGAATATCAATGATTAGTCAATACATAGTGCATTTTCCCAGTACTATACTTTGTGCAAATGCATCCAGAGATCAATTTAAAAAGTTGCTATATTTTGCAGGAAAATTAAGCAGTTTTACAGACACAATCTTAAAAGTTTTAGTGGGAACATTCCGAAGGAATGATTAGCAGAGATATGGCCTTCTAAAAAGAAAGGATACCCTGTGCTGAGTAAAAGGTAGGTGGATATCAAGGAGAGAGAAATGCTTAGCAGTCGGTGGAAGAAAACTGTAGAGCTAAGCACTGGCATTAAAAAGGAAGAGGCTGTAACACAAGAGAGAAATACAAATGAGTACAACTCTGAGGAACAAAATGCATCATCAAACTGTTAAAAGATTCCATCAGCAGAGCATAAAATTTGACTCTTAACAGCTTTGCATTGCTTGAAATTCATCTATTTCAGGACAATCGAATGTATAAATGGCATATCAGTCATTCACTTATAGAAAAAGTACAACTACTTGGAAAACCAAATATTCTTATAAATCATTTAGCAGTTAAAACTATTATACCTTAAAATTCCCTTTTCTTTTTTAATGTTAAACTTTTTATAAAATTTTATCCCCTCTCCCCAGTGCATCATTTTCTGGCTAAGAATAGGTAAATCACTGTAAATCACCCAAAGCTTATATGTTTTCCATTCCAATAAATATCTCTGGAATTTAATAATAATAATCCTTGTTTTTGATATAGCACCTTATCATGTCATTGAGACATCTCAAAGCGCTTCACAGAATATATTGTAAATTTCCCCGTATAGGTGGGATGCATAGACCTGTTTGTTTTGGATACTCTCAGGCATAGTCCTGGGTTTCTGCATTTGTCAGAGTCTGGTCAATCAAATGAGGACCTACAAGATGAATCAATATGCCCTGGGGTAACTTGCCCTAGTCTCCATTTGACTTGTCCAAATATCATACATTTTAGTCCCTGAGATGACCTGACCTTAGTTCAATTACACATCTGAGTTCTTACTCAGGCCACTAGATGGAATTCTTTTTGGAGGTCAAATACTTAATAGTAATGCGAGAGACAATGTGAGACTGAGAGAATTAGGTAGAAAGGATGGTAAGAGAGAGAAAAAAAGAAAACTAATTGAAGGATACAGGGATCTTTGACTGACGCAATTAAATACACCACAGGACATGATGTCCAGTGCTACTGGGGTTTGGAGAGGAATGTTATCTATCGAAGTTAATAGGTTAAGGCTGAGACTGGAGATGAATGGGGATTCTGTTATTGTCCTCAATTTCCTTTGGGATTAAGGAGTGTTTGTGAAGAACCCTGGAAATTAAATGAATGGGCGGGGTCCATGATAGAATTATATTCTGGTCTGTGGAAGGAGCAGAGGGAATGTTTTTTCTCATTCATGTCTTCTTATGCTATTAATCACTCAATTTGCCAACCTACAACAAAATACTTATTATGCTTTCTGTGACATGAAATTTAAAGTTTCATACTCATTTCACCTTGAGGTTGAATACAATTTGAACATTTTATAGGAAAGGGAAAAATTAGTTCAGTATGACATTTGATTATAATAGCTTTGGAGAATATATAGCGACAGTTCACTAGATTAATATCTGGATTGAAAGGTTTACCTATGATGTGAGGCTGGGTAGAACAAGGTAATTTGATTGGGATATTTCAAATAATGAAAGAAATTGATGGATTAGAGAGTGGACAACTCATCCCTCTGGTAGAGGGATCTGTTACAAGAAGACATAGCCTTAATTTCAAAATAAAGAAGGTTAAAACCGAGATCTGAAAGCATTTATTCACCCACATGGTTGTGAAGTTGTGTAATGCTCTGCCCCAAAAATGTATAGAGGTAGAATCAATAAGTATGTTTAAAGAAGAGATAATTAGATATTTATAGTAATACTTGCATTTGATATAGAGCCTTATCACATTGTTGAAACAACAATTGTGCTTCACAGAATTTACAGTAAATTTTGTGGGTGAAAATGGCAGCCAATTGCATATAGCAGTGTCCTACAAGCAGTCATGTATTGAGTGGCCAAATTATTATTCTTATTTTAACATTCCTACTCCTACTTGAGGATTAATGTATTTTAAGATTATGGTGAAAGGGTTAAAAGATCTGCTAAAAGCAAATAAATTGGTGGTACACGCTTGATGCCCTGAACATGCTCCTCCTATATTTCTATGCAAACATGTACATTGCTCTTGTTTTTTATGAACTTAACGTCCATTCTCAGGTTCAGACTCAACTTTTCCATATACTGTACTTCCATTCAAAATAGGCTCAATGCTTAGAATATAAAATCCGGATGTAAGAAAAATGCGTATACCCTGCTTGCAATTAAATAATATATTAGGCATAATTTAAACAGTTTTTTGGTAATCAACATCATATTATGTTTTGATGAGCCTACAGTACTAATGTCATAGTTAAATCTTCAATGTTGAGCATCTACAATAATCCAGCACACTGGTCGGTGGTGTGTATACTGATAACTACATTAGCAGAGACTTTGACTAAATATATTGCTACAGTTAACATTGGAGTCAAAAATGTGGTGTTTGTAATGAGATTCCCAAAGGATTCGTAATTATTAAATCTTGGCGGTAACTAGTTTTCCATCATGCTGACCGCAGAAACCTGTAATCCAATTTTGGATGCTTTGGAGAGCAGAGTTTGCAGGCTGGTGTGACACACATCCAATCACAGGCGGGAATGGATATTTATAAATAATTTTCAGATCATTACAAAACAATCAATATCCATAACATTAAGCAGTAATTTATTCTTAGTTTCAAATGCCAGTTATAAACTATTGAAGTTTTCAATTGCAATGACATCCCTACACAAATCCATAACGTGGGCGGGGGTGGGGGGAATGTAGGGAGAAAGAAAATCAGAATGGTCGGAAATGTTCCAGCAGTCTTTACTTACCTAGGGTCATCCAGCTTATGATCTGGTTGATTACTGGCAATCCTTGTTTACGTGCTAGGCTGGCATGGGTGGTCTTCACAACGTAGATGGACATAATGATAATCAGCATCTAGAAGTAAAGGCAAATTTTAGTGTAAGGTCTCTATTAAATAGAGACCCATATTACTAAGAGACTGAACACAAGTCAACATTATAATTGAAGTGCTATAAAGATGTACATTACAGTAATTGACTGGCATCGTGGTTTGGCCACACTGCTGCTCTAATCTAATTTTATTTGAAACACTTGGACTCACAAGTTCCCACCTTGAATTCCTCAGGTAATGTGTGGAGAATTGCTAAATTAAAGCAAAAATCTTCAGTATAGGTGGGAAAGGAGGGGAGAGGAAGAGAAGGGTGAATGAAGAGGAGACGAGAGGGTGATTGCGGATAATCACACAAGTACTTCCTTGTAACCGCATTGCAAGAGCCGTGGGAGCATGATGCCTGACGATTTGTGGAATAGTGAATGAAACATGGCAGAAAGAGACATGTACAAAGACTGAATCTATATATAGTTATAAAGAATTCACTGCATCAGGAGAGGAAAGGTAATATGAATAAATTGGAGGAAGAAATACATATTCAAATGGTGTCAAATAGTATATAGTGCTTTTAAAAAGTGGATGGATCAAGCTTGCTTCAAATCAATATTAGTTCCTGTTTTATGTTCTTTTTCCAATGATTATATAAACTGCTAAACTGTATAAAATAATTTCTGTAATATGTTAAAATGAAAGTTTGGCAAAGTGTCAATGGAACAAAACACTCCAAGAGTTAAATGAATATTAGATTTGCCAAGATCACTTATTTAGCATTCATAGACAATGCGGATAAACATAAATTAGGAATTCCTCCTTCAAAAGCCTTGGGGGCAAATACATGTTAGTAAAAGTAATTAAAATACTGCAGAAGATTCTGATTCCGCATAGATATGAGAAATACACAAACCTGTGTAATAAATATTCTTCTTTCTATACTGGTGTGGAGGGCTTTCATCTTTCCTGTCCTAAAAGAAGCCCAGCAAACACAGCCGAAGATTACACTCAATAACCCAGCTCCTGTTCTGGTTACATGAAAAAAATAAAGGGAAACATTAGAAATAATCTTAAGGACCGTAATAGACATTCTAGTTTTCTTCATTGTTTGACAAAACACCAATAATAATGACTCCCAAGTTATAAATCAAATGATAATCCTTACATTTGGTATAGTGCCTTTCACTTCGGGAGGAAGTCCAAAAGCGCTTTACAGGATACACTGCAAGGTGCAGTGACTGTGCCTTTTGTGTTCAAATGCAGGAGCCAGTTTACGCACAGCAATGTCCAACAAACAGCCATGAAGTGAATTAACTATTTTATTTGGGGTGATTGTTGGCCAGGAGACCAGAAGAAACTCTCTTCTCTTTTCAAATAGTACCATGGCACCTTTAACGTCCACCTGAACAGGCAGACGGGCCTCGGTTTAAAGTCTCATTCAGCGGACAGCATATCTGAAACTTCCCCAGCCCCGTATTGGAATATCAGTTTAGACAATGTGATTCCAAGTCCCAATGTGGGGCTTGAACCCACAACCTTCTGAGTCAGAGGTAAGTGTGCTGCCAGCTGAACCAGGCTGACATACTTACCAGATTACAATCACCAGGCCTCCAATATTTAACACAAGTGAAAATTCATCATGCATAAGAATCTAGATACTCAAAAACTAGGAAGGAGGCAGGGGATGGGGGCTGTTTCCTGACCCTGGCTCTCCATGCACACTTTTAGTGTGAGTGGGGAGTTGCTGAAAAGCCACGAGGAGCATAACATCCAGCACAGATTCTTCCATTTCGCAGACTGAGGACACTGAAGCCAATTATAGTGTCCCCTGAACACTTGACTCAAATTAGTTATCTGAACTCACACAAGGGTTTAAAACTGGAGCTGACCTGGTCTCCACAGCTCAGAGATCCAAACAAAGCACACCCATACAGTGATGCATTTAGCTGCAAGTATGTCAGTCAGTATAATGTTTGTTAATTATTGTTTACAAAATGCAGAAGCTGATGACAGAGTTTTGGGCACAAAGCCTTGTACAACTAGTGCACTGAGGAAATTAAATAAAGAAGTAACATTAGTTAATTTCTCCAATTGCAAATAGAAAAAGTTTTAAGCAAACCCCTTTCTCCTCCAACTTACACAAGAGGAATATTGGAGGCCCTACCAACCACAGGCATCAACGGAAAGACAGCCAGGACAAAACTAAACAGAATCCATGTCGAAGCCATGACCTAAGAATAAAAAATAAAGTTAAGAAACAGAAAATGATAGTATTTTAAAACTAACATGTTTAGTGCATTAAGGTGACTGAACCTTTTGTGTTTATGTGAAGGAATAATGATAAGTTATCCTGGTTGTTGGTAGCGAGCTGTCTGTCTCTCTTGCAAATGGAGTCCCATAGAATTATGATCAATGCGCTCGCCTCGCAAACAAGAGGACCCGGGTTCAATTCCTGGGCAGAGCGAAAACTTGGCCAAGTTTCCTTACTCCACATGCCTCTGTTTACCTAGCAGTAAGTAGAACCCAGTTGTTAGTCGATTGGCAGATTGCTTTTCCGGGGGTTATAATTCCTTAAAAAAAAATTCCTGCCGGGAATCAAACCCAGGTCTCTCACTTGCGAGGCAAGCGCTCTAACCACTGAGCGACAGGACTCCACTTGCAATCAGTTACAAGTGAAAATTTATTTTGAACACAAATAAATATAAAGTGATGGAGATGTGGATAGTTGTATGATACTACTAGAGTATATGTCATTAGATTACAATTGAAGATGTTAATTATCAGATGGTTGAGATACAGATGCTGACCTTATTCTGGTAAAACAGCCTGGATACCAATGGCCATCCTGCAAATGCAAGCAATCCAAGCGCAAGTACTTCACGGTAGAAAAAACTCAAAACCTGAAACAAACCAAATGTCAGCATCATGTGCGAAAATGAAGGATTTAAAACCAGCAGAAAAGAACAAAATAAATAGTCACTACACTTCACACAATATCCTGTGAAGCTCTTTCAGATGTCTTGACGATGTGATAAGGCGCAACACCGAATATAAAGATTATTACTAACTATCAAAAAATTGTACCTAAGCCATGTAAAAAGCTATATGATTGACACCAAGCACATTACTGCATGGGAATGCTTGCACTACTTTGTAATAGTAGCTCCATGCCTGTTGCTTACAGGAGAACTCCCAATGCTTTTTAGGAGATGTCAACATTAGTAAAAGTCTTTTCACATAACAAGTGAAGTGTCCTTCCATCATTTTAAGTGGTCTCAAGATATCTGCAGCACAGTGCTCATGACAGATTGATGCTGGAAGTGAAGTGTTACTGAGGGGAAAATCCATGGACCGAACACACCGTCACAGAGAGAATATCTATAATGTTACTGGGCTCTTACTGCATTTTAGACACAAATAGTATTAGCTCAATTGTACTGGAAGAAAAACTTCTCAAAGTTGAAGTTGGAAATATTATAAAAGATAAAGGTCCGAGAAACATAAATGACGAAGATTTTCCTGCTCCCCTCCTAAAGTCAAGTCTTACATCAAACATATGGAAGGGATGATATCAATATCCCAGTGATTAAAAAAAGATCAAATATTGTAAAATGTGACCAATAAGTATCTTTACCAGTTTACGCACAGCTTGTTTCAATATCCTGTGTTGCTTTCCAATTGTGGGCTGTATTGCGTGTCTAGGATAGGACTGCCCAAACTTATTTTACTTAGGACAATTCCACCCATCAGGGGGAATGCATTCTCCCCAACAGTCTCTACTGAAGTGAAATGGAAAAATTAATCGGGATGTTGAAATGGAAGCTTGATATAAAGGGGGTAAAAACATTAGGGGTATTATGGACAAAAAGGCATTGAAAGATCTTCCATGATCTAATACAATGGCACAACAGACTTGACAAATCAAATGTTTGATTCCTGTATCTGTGGCCCTAAGGGACAAAGTGAAAGGAAGACTGTGTTAACTTGCTACACGATAAATAAAAGACTGCAAACCGTGCTTGGTTACAAAGTCATGAACACCTATAACAGTGTAGAAATTGTTTTGCTTAACTTACCATGATTTCAATGCCCAGAATAGAAATCAGTAAAAAGACAAATTTTGCAGGTGGTTGACTTGAAAATGAACTAATTACACTTTTAATAACCCTAAACCTGTCAAATAACAAAAACACAGGATTAAAATCATCTTTACAAACACTGAATTTCATCTGCAAACTCTCCAAATCCACAATTGCATCAACAAAAATATTCTCTTCTACAGTAGTATGTATATAAATGTAAATCCCTAAATATAAAAACTACATCAAACACTTGTATAAACAATATGTTTTAAAAATAGCAACTCAAAAACTAGACCTAGAGGCAACAGTTCCGCAAACCATAAAAACACTGGAGTAAAGACAACATGTTAAATGATGTCCTAAAACTAACATTAACATTACTGACCCGAATCAAACTACGTACCCACATCTCACCAGTTCAGGCCAGACTCCACTGGGTCCCCATCACCGAACAGATCGACTTCAAGATCCTCACTCTCGTGTTCAAATCCATTCACTCCCTGGCACCTCCCTACCTCTCCGACCTCCTCACTCCCCAATCCACCACCCGGCACCCACGCTCGACTGCTCGTCCCTCGCACCCTCCACCATCGGAGGTCATGCTTTTAATCACTCCTCTCTCCCCTTTTTCAAGTCATGTCTACAAACCTTCCTCTTCGACTGTGATGATGGCCACCTCCCCCCAGTCCCCAGCTCGGAGTCAGGCTCCGCCACCATTTAGCGCTCTGAGACGCTATCCTGCGTGAAGGGCACTATATGGTGCAAGTTGCTGTTGTATTAATAGAATTATAATCTAAATAATGGGATGTTAAAAATCTGTGTTTTATGAACCAAGTATATTGATTTAATGCAAAAATCATCTTTTTGCCCAGAATTATTTTTTTTGAAACATGAAATAGGTGATCTTGAATTAATTAAATCAAATATTATACATCTCTTTGCCTTTAATCCAGTACAAAAATACTGCAACTGTTCATTATAACCATATTCATTTCCATTAAGCAAAGATGTAGTAGTTTGTGAAAATGACACAAAGTGCAGGATGTTGGAGGATTCTAGTTTACAAAACAACTTATCCCAAATAATAAGGCCTTATCCACTTAGTTCTGCAGAAAAAGTAAACATTTTCCACACATACATTTTCTAAATTAAATTCCTGTAAAGACATTAAACACAGCAACAAATTTAAATCACGAACCTGTGCAGCAAAACCTACTTTGCTTCAGCATGCTAAATTGGTCAACTAAAAATAAATACATTTTAAAGAGACGATCGTCTCCTTTCAACTCAGCACAGCACACCTATAAATAGTCGTGGATTGAGTCACCAATTCTTTTTTACTTAATACATGTACTATTGCACTGAAGTATGGAATATCTGGTGCTTGCATCTAAATTATGGAATACTTGTTTTACAAAGCAACCGGCAGCAGGTTAATGGCATTTACCACTTACTCTTTTATAACTGCATACCACATTAGGACTGGCAACAGACTGTAAATGTAATAGGTCCATGGGCAGCTCTGAATCAGCAGAAAAAGTGTTATCAGTACACCAGTCCCAATGAATATTGCAGGAAGACGATCACTGGATGACAGCTGTGAAGCACAGGAACCAGAATGCACATTTACTGTAGGGTGAGAACAAGAGCCTTTAAAGTTACATAGATAATTCAGAATAAAAATATGTCAAAGCATCATCAGAATAACATTTACTGATTGAAAATTGCTTCAATTTTGCTACATGAACATCACTGCTGTTTCTGGGACATTGCCATGCACAAATTGGCTGCTGCATTTGCCTGCAAATACAGTCACTAATCTTTACTGGAAAAACTCTGAAGTTCTTTGAAGCGTTTCAACATAATAAGGTGCTATATCAAATGCAAGGATTGTGTTATCACTCTATAAGTACTCACTCGTCACTTTAGTAGCCTTCAGTTTAGCCTTAGGATTACTATATTACTGTATTTGATAGCCTGTTGCTACAAGGACTCCGGGACGCTGCCCCTCATGAAGGGCACTATATAAATGCAAGTTTGTTGTTGTTGTATTTAGATAAACTGGAAAGCAACATTTCTTAAGCAATCTATTGGTTTCAAAATGTTCTATCAATGGCTTGCAACAGGATCTTCCTGGATAGTTTTACACTTTATTATTGAGAAACCTAGGTAAGAGCCAAAGCTCCTACTGTAGGATATTGTCGGACACGTTGAAAAGAGGAGCAAAAAAAAAAACAATAAATCAAGAAATGTCATGCATCGGATGTTTTTTTAAAATCCTATCATTGAAAATAAGAAAGAGGCTCTTTCTTAATTCTTGAAGTGAAGGAAAGAATAAGAGTATTAGTAAGGCTGTAAGAAAGTTGTGATTTTTTGGCCCAAAAGTTGTGGCCACTATATGTTAAAGTTGTGCTTTTGGTATCATCAGTTCAAGCATCTGCAGTGAGTACACTGGACATTGGACCATCCATCTGTCCAGCAACCCTTTCCACCCTCTCAACATACAGGAGAGTAGGATGAGAGTGCAGAATGGGTTGATGGACATGAGGAAAGTCCAAAGGGAGTCCAAAGTGGGTTGATGCACTGGTGAATAGTCCAACGGGCGCATGTACTCACTGTAGTGATTAAAAATTGGGGTGCGTGCTAATTAAAGTTGCGGTTTCCGCAACAAAATCGCAGCCCCCGATTTTCTTACAGCCTTAATTATTAGAGCATTTGCCAACAAACAGGTCCTGGCCAACAAATCACCCAAATAAAATTGGTCACTCAATCCATGGCTGTTTGTGGGACATGGCTGGGTGCAAACTGGCTGCTACATTTCAGCCCAAAATACAGTTTAATCCCATACTTCTCACCTACCTTTTCCAGTTTGGAGACTGGCCTGCTTATACTCGTGTGGAGTTTGACAATCAGCACAAAAGCATAAGAGATCCATCCCACAAACCCCAGCACCACACTCATTCCCAAGAAGATCCGATCATAGGTATGATAATACGAGAGCCCTTCCAGAGCGAGGTTTATTAATGACTTGCACAGATTGATCTGCGGGAAAAAAAGGTTATGAATAAAACCTGGTGTAATCAATATAAAATAAATTTGTGGTAACTAGTCACTGCCTCCTCCCTCCCCTCTCTGCCCCCGCCTCCCTCCCCGCTCTGCCCCTCCCTCCCCGCCTCTGCCCCCGCTCCCTCCCCGCTCTGCCCCTCCCCTCCCTTCCCGCTCTGCCCCTCCCCTCCCTCCCCGCTCTGCCCCTCCCCTCTCCCCACTCTGCCCCCCCCTCCCTCCCCGCTCTGCCCCCCCCTCCCTCCCCGCTCTGCCCCTCCCTCACCGCCTCTGCCCCCTTCCCTCCCCGCTCTGCCCCTCCCCTCCCTCCCTGCTCTGCCCCTCCCTGCTCTGCCCCTCCCCTCTCTCCCCGCTCTGGCCCCCCCTCCCTCCCCGCTCTGCCCCGCCTCCCTCCCCGCTCTGCTCCCATCTCCCTCCCTGCTCTGTCCCTCCCCTCCCTCCCCGCTCTGCCCCCCATTCCCTCCCTGCCCTCTCCCTCCCCGCTTTGTCCCCCCACTTCTCCATTGCCCCCTCCCTCCCCGCTTTGCCCCCTCCCTCACTGTCTCCCCGCCTTGCTCCCTCCCTCCTCCCCACCTTGCCGCCTCCCTCCCTCCCCGCCTTGCCCCCTCCCTCGCCACCTTGACCTTGACCTGGGTTCGATTCCAGGCAGGGCGAAACCTTGGGCAAATTCCCTTACTCCACGCCTGATAATAATCCCTCAGGAAAAGAAACCAATAATAATAAAATTGGTCACTTCAATTCACGAATGTTTGTGGGACACTGCTGTGCGTAATTGGCTGCCGTGTTTCACCCACAAATATACAGTCAATTCACTTTACAGTATATTCTGTGAAGCACTTGGAGACGTCTAGAAGATGTGAAAAGCGCTACATAAAATATTAGGATTATTATTATTATTATTGACCACCTTGCCCCCCCGCCTTGCCCCCTCTCTCCCTCCCTGCCTTGCTCCCTCCCTCCCTTGTCCCCTCCTTCCTTCCCTGCCTTGCCCCCTCCCTCCCTGCCTTGCCCCCTCCCTCCCTCCCTGCCTTGCCCCCTCCCTCCCTCCCCGCCTTGCCCCCAGCTGATGTGGAAGGGGACAGGACCACAAGAATCAGCTAAATAAATATATTTTTGTTAAATGTACATTTCTCCACCCCAACAAAGGCTGAGGGCAAAATATGCCCTCTTTTTTGAAAAAAAACTAGTCATATTGCTTCTTTAACATGCTTTGAGAGGTTAGGAAATGCTACTTTCAGCAGAATACTTACTGCTTGATTGTACTGCTGTTGCTGAATATATAATCTTGCTGTACGAAGCATGTCTTGCTGATTGGAAAGCTGAAGAGGTCTATTAAAAGACAAGAAAAAATGTTCATTCTCTGGTTATGCAAGGAAGCTTTTCACTAATACAAATTGATGTCTGACAGAGGCTAAAATGGTACAAGACAACTTCAGCATTTTCAATCACCATAGCCTAGTTGATGACAATTTATGATTACAGAGTAATCTCCAAATACATAGATGGGATACAATATACATTTCATCCATATTATTCATATCCAACAATAAATGAATGTAATTTAAATGCAGTTTCACATCAACCATAATTAAGCACTCCTAAGACAAAATTAGTTACTGTTCCAGTTAAACTTCAATGAGTTCATCCGACACAAGTGCACAATGCTGCAAAGGAGAACTTAAGTTACATAAATTTACTAATTAATTCTTCCAGAATCTTCATATTTCAAATATTAGTCTGTATATTTACAGGAATACATTGTTCATTTCCATTGAGATTTTATAAACAGACTGAACAGGAAATCTGAATAAGCGCAACAATAAGCTAGGTAGGCATAATTCATCTACTTGTCAAGAATCATAATGCTCAGAGTTATTTTGGTTAACAAGATTGGTTCAGAACTGTGCCAACTTAAGAGTCAATATCCCACAGATAGACAGAAAAAGATGCAGGCTCTGAATAGTACCAGCAATTTTGCAGATGAAGGACATGTGGTTCTGCAAGATGAACACTGATCTACTCTATTTAATTCCTTTCAATAACTGAAGTTCAATTTCTGATGCAGAAATCTGTTGGGTAATGATCTTGTAAGTGCAGTTAGATAAAGTTCTTGCAAAATGCACACCATTAACATTGGAACAATAGCCCATTACTTTTTTTTGAGGATTATGCAAGATACATTTAGTTTCTGCAATACAAAACCTAGACTACAAAAATGATCGGTTTACTTAAAATATATATTTTAGGAAAGGAAACTATTAACCTAACAAGCCTCTTTCTGATTTTAAAGTGATCCTGTCTTTGCAATATAGTGTTCAATGATTTTACTCTCCAGAAACAAAACTAGGTGCTTCTTGAACCCACACCACTTAAATGGTCTTCCTTGGTAAAATATTCTACAATATTCTTCAGTAATTTATTGCTCATTTTTAAACTGTATGTATACCCTTTACTACAGTGAACAATTTCCTTACACTATCTCTGACAATTCACTTTATAATCCTGAAACTGCACGTAGGTTACCTTGAACTCTCCCCTCTTCCAAAAGTCCAACTTCCCGAACCTTTCCATATGTCTTACTTTTCTGATACTTAGAATTATCTTTGCTATTTGCTTCTGTACCTTGGCATTCATAGAATTTATGGAATTCACTACCCCAGAAGGCTGTAGATGCTCAGTCCTTGAACATCTTCAAGGCTGAGACTGATAGATTTTTAAAAATAGAGGGATTAAGGGATATGGGGATAGGGCAGGTAATTAGAGTTAGGTCAGAAGATCAGCCATGATCTTATCGAATGGCGGGGAAGGCTCGAGGGGCCGAATGACCTACTCTTGCTCCTAATTCTTATGTTCTTATTCCTTCCTAAGGCTAGGTGACCAGGACTGCACACAGCACTCCATAATGATCTGAGCAATGCTTTAAACAGAATGTCAACTCTTTAGATATCTATATTTCCATTGATGCCAACTAATAGCTTACTAATTTGTTTCTACAATCAAGCACAAAGCTGATAAATTCCTACATTTAGCTACAACAACTCCTAGATCTCTATCCTAATCTGCATACTCCAGGGCTGTTCCATTTAACATATAGACCAGAGAATGTTCTCTATGATGTTTCGCATAACTTCAATTCTAAATTTACAACCAGATTCATAGTCCTGTACCATAAATGTTCAAACATTCAGTTTAACAATTTTAATAGTACTTCTGAAAATGTTAACATATTGTGAATTTTATTTTAAATATTGGTAAAGTAACCTGGCAGCATAATGGTATTTCCTTTGACTTTCCCTAAAGAGCCACAAAAAAAAGCTGATACATTAATTAGCATTTGAGATACTACAAGGTTATTTGAAGAACATAATTTCTCCACAAATCATCCAAGCGGATATGCCCTTAGGTCAGTTGCCTTGCTAGTTTGGGACTTCACTGTGAGGAATCAGGTAGTGAGTTATCCAATATTATACCTCCTGTCATGTAGCATGTCTACAATACCAGAACACTATAAAATTATTTAAAATAAAGGTTTCAAAAATGTCAATACCTTCTACAGGCAAAAGATTACTTCCAAAACTAGATTTTTACTCAAACCAAATTTTTACTGAAATTAGTTTAGCCCATTAGTTTACCTCTGGCATTTCTTAAAGCTTTTTTCATTTAAAAAATATTATTTACAGAGCTGTAGGCAATATTTCACCATTGATCATCTACCATCATTTTCTAAGCTTGGGAATTGCTGCCCTGCAGTGGTTAGATTTCAGTTATAGCTTCTCACAGTAAACTTCTCTATTAGTTAATTCAAATTGCTACATTCTGGGAGTGCCCTTATATCAACAATTTCCTAAATTTATAAAACAGAATAACTTCCAACAGCAAAAAATAGGAGTGACATTTCTACTCAAATTATCGGGAGAAAGCACTTGTCTGGTGCTAAATCTCTCTCGCTGCCTTCTAGTTTAGTTCCTGACTATAAGATACTTCCCTTTCAAAGAGTTCCCTTCAGACAACGGTGAAGTCTTTGATGATACTGCAGCATAACATGTACAGCATACTAAATATTCCCATGTTATTTATGCTCCATTTATACTGCAGTTAGTGTTGAATCCATGCAATCCTTGCAGTTTCTTCAATGAATAAACACTAAAAGTGCTGTATAACTCCAGGAGGTGGTTTTGGAATGGAACCAATCTATGCAGTATAAATTGGATTTTACTTCAACTGATTTGAAACAAACCGTTAAACTTAAATTCTTGAGTGATGAAGAGAACCCTGCCTTAAGCATCTTTATGTTATCATGAGAGATTCATATGAAGAAGGCCCTTCATCATATTGGATCATATTCGTCCATTTGATCTTAGCTTTCCAGAAACCCACTCTAACATCTTCCAACACATAACACATCAAGTATTTTTTTTAAATGTCTGAAATATGTTTGGCAATGTAATCCAGCATCCTGTTTGCCTTGTTTATGAAGCATCAGATTGACTCTTGAGTCACTAGGATGTGGGTTCAAGCTCCACATATATCAAGGTGCCATCATCTTTCAGTTAGGCTGTTAAACCAAAGTCCCGTTAGCCTGTTCGGGTGGATGTTAATGATCCCATGGCATGAGTCGATGCACCTGGCCAACAATGCACCTAACAAAATTGGTCATTTTTTCATGGTTGTCTGTGGGACACTGCCAGGCACAAATTGGTTGCCATGTTTTATCTACAAATACAGTCACTACACTTCACTGTAAATCCTGTGAAGCATTTTGTGACATTTCAACAACACAATGAGGTGCTCTTTCAAATTCAAGGTTTACTTTATATTATTATTCCTATATTATTCCTATAATTTCATATTTGGAAACAGTCAACCAAAGCCTTAGGTCTCTTTCAACTAATCCTTAGAACGTTCTGTCTCATCCTTGCAGTGCACGTTCCTCCTATTTTTACTACCTCTATTCAGCACCATATACCTACACTTATCTACATTGAACCTCATCTGTATCTGGAGGGTTAAGGAGGAAAGGAAAAGTGAGAATGCAAATCCAAGTACAGATGGTTTCAGTCTTTTTTGTTAAAGCTGCCATAACAACTAAGTAATAGTTAATCAGTTTTAACCTATTGCAAGCATGACATTCAACTAAAAAACTTTCAGTTCCTGGCAGTAGCATAAGTAACATAAATATTCACTTGGACCACTGCTCCTGCAATCCAAAGCTAATACATTAGAGATATAACATTTAGACTAATTTACAGGAAAACTGTAAACTATTGAATGAGTTGTCATTCAAGGTCAGACCCCAAATTGCCCATAGCTGCATATTAAATAGTTAAACATACATTAATAAATATAGCATTTTTACAAAACTAGAACAGGAGCATATAACAAGGGGGCAAACTTGCTGGTGAATCCAATTTGTGTTTTGACACCGTGGACCACTCAATCCTCCTCCACTGCCTCTCCTCTCCCCTCAACCTTCAAAGTTCTGTCCTTGACTGGTTCAGGTCCCACCTTTCACACCGCCTCCACTTTGTTGCAGCAAACGGCTTTTCCTCCAGCCCCCGCACCGTCTCGTGCGGTGTTCCTCAGGGCTCTGTCCTCGGTCCCCTCCTCTTCACCCTCTACATGCTCCCCCTCGGTCACATCATCCACAGACATGGGGTAAATTTCCACATGTGTGCGGATGACACCCAACTCTATCTCTCTGCCTCCACCCTCAACTCCAGGACTACTGGAGTTCTGACTGACTGCCTGTCCAACATCAAGTCCTGCACGAGGGCCAACTTTCTCCAACTCAACGTCAGCAAGACTGAGGCCATCCTGATTGGCTCGTGCCAGTGCCTCCGCACCTGAGGCGCTGGCAGCATCATCCTCCACAGCTGCACACTCAACCTCACTAAGCCAGTCAGGAACCTGGGTATCTTGTTTGACCCTGAACTGTCCTTTCTCCCCCACATCAGGCTCCGGCCTGCTCCATGACTCCCGCCCGACCTGCCTTACCATCGGTGGCCGGGCTTTCAGCCTCTCTGCCCCCACACTCTGGAATTCCATCCCACGGTCCCCTCGCCTCGCTTCCTCCCTTGCCTCCTTCAAGGCCAGTCTCAAGACCCTTCTTTTCGACCGTGCCTTTGGTCTCCCTCCCACCTCTCCGCCTTCCCTCACCCCTACACCACCCCTCCACCAAGCTTGGGCCCTGACATCTGACTGTTCAGCGCTTTGGGACGTCCTCCCAACGTGAAAGGCGCTCTATAAATGTAATTTTGTTGTTGTTGTGTTAGTGTCTATTCTTACAAAGTCAGACTTTGTAAAATGTTACATTTAAAGTAAATAGCAATTATGAATAAGTGGAAATAAATAAAAGAACAGAGAAACCAGTTATACAAACCCTAGGATTTACTTTTTTTAGCCTAAATATCCTTCCCCACTCCAAAATCCCTTAGATCTCTCACATGCAACTGGTATAAATGTGATATTCATTGTCCGACATTATAAAAAGGCTAAAATGTTGCTGCTTCTATCCATTAATCACGAGGAACATTTTATTTGTTAATGAGGGTATTTCAAAGAAGTACCGCTAATCTTTGTTGTTGTTGCAGAATTCTGGTGTGGTCTGATCTCCAACAGCACCACAGTTCGGTGGCAGCCAGTTGGCACACCCTAACTAAAATCATTCTCTCCCCATCCAAGAGAAACGCTGGACCCTCCACATGCATGACTCAGAATGGAAACAGAGAAGATTGGGGGAATTCTCACTGTTGACTCCTCCAAGTACTTCTTTTTTTAAAATGAGAGCAAACAAAATGTTCGTTGCTCCAGAACCCTATTTTATTAGCTTCTCTGATGCAGTGAGGATGAAGCAGATTCTTGCCAGACAGCTGGATTATCTCTATACTATGGTCTGTGAGTGTGATAGAATCAGGAACCTAAAATATATATATTTTTAGCACCTTCTCACCTTTCCACAGAGGATGAGAGTAGGCCGAATATGATCAATATGTCTTGTTTTAATTAAGTTCAAATCATAATAATAAATAATAATACTTCGATATAGCGCCTTATCACGTTTTCGAGACATCTCAAAGTGCTTCACAGAATATAATAATAATAATAATCCTTGCATTTGATATAGCGCTTTTCACGTCGGGAGGACGTCCCAAAGCGCTTCACAGAACACACTGCAAAGTGAATTGATTGTATGTTTTGTGGGTGAATCGCGGCAGCGAATTGTGCACAGCAGCGTCCCACAAACTGTCGTGGATTGAGTGACCAAATTATTTTTTTATTATTATTATGTTGAAATATTACATATATTATATTACATCTTGAGCTTCGAATGGCTTAATTTACCATTGATTTTCACCAGGCCATTCAGAAATCTCAACAAAAAAGCAGCAAAAATTCACTGATGTGAGGATAGGGCACTCCACTCAGCCCTGCTTTCAACAACTGGTGATTTAACTAAATACTCATTTCATACATCAAAGTCTATCTCTAACTATACAGCTGTTGATTCTGTTCCACCTCAAGGTAAAACATCAGCTATGTTATCACTGTGCAAATAAGGTTGTACTTGCCTGTATTTAAGGAACAAACAAAACCAGTAGCAACAAAACAACCCGCCATCTGGCATCTTGATTAAATTGTGAGCTTTCCAGAACATATTAATTAAGTTCAAATTTCTCATCTCCAGATAAGAAACAATTGTGGTTGCATTCATTCAAGTTAATACGAATTGGAAAAGGCAGGCACCAAAATAAGTGATTTTAACCCTTTCGAACATACATCCTTTTCATATGACCCAGGTCCACATGCACAGCTACATTCAAACCAGTTATGATGATGTCCAGGCCCTCTTGATAACTCTGTGCTTAATGAAGTTGTGCATTTGTTCTATGATCCACAGGTTTGTTTGAAGTTACTGCATCACAATCAGATCTCAGATGCATTAATAATAATAATCCTTGCATTTGATATAGCACTTTTCACGTCTTCTAGACGTCTCAAAACACAGTCAACTCACTTTACAGTATATTCTGTAAAGTGAATTGACTATATTTATTGGCAAAAAACGGCAGCCAATTGCGCACAGCAGTGTCCCACAGTCGTGGATTTGAAGTGATCAATCTTCTTTTATTATTGTTTTTTTTCTTGAGGTATTATTATCAGGCATGTGGAGTAAGGAAATTTGCCTAAGGTTTCACCCTACCGGGAACTGAACCCAGGTCTCTCGCTTGCGAGGCAAGCGCTCTAACCATTGAGCTACTTGTGTTAAAAGTAACTGGGTATGCATACTTTTGAGTGTGGCCCTCATTCCCTGTAGAACATTACCCATGCCCTGGGCCAATAGAAAAGTGCGACTGAAATGTTCCGCAGAATTTGCTATAAACAGCGCTCTCTGCTATAAAATGCTAATAAGTGAAGTTTCTGCCACCCGTGCCTCTTGCTGTTTATCTGATGGTACTGCGGGCAGGGCGGCTCTGGACTCGTATCCCCGGAAATGGGCTCAACTCCACTAGGAGCTCCGGCTGTTGAGATTGTCAGTGAGTGTCTCTCTCTCTATGCCAGAACCTATTAAAACATTGGGAACTTTCTGCAGGTCTGTATACGATACCTACTCCTAAGTAGTCTTAGAGTTGGCATATGGATTCTGTGCAAGAGTAAGAGAATGTTGGGAATGCTTGCCAGGATACCATTTAACACCAGGTTAGCATTTAACTGTAGTAAAGTATACTAATCCATAAATCTCAAATACTGCAGTGTAAAACAAAAAGGGTTACTGCAGTTTAGTGCCACAAGGTCTCATGTAATATTCCAGCACAACCATAAAAATCGAACGAGATTTCTTTGTCTTAGTTTTAAGAAATATTGACAACAATAATATTCCTTGCATTTGATTTAGCGCCTTATCACGTCATTGAGACGTCTCAAAGGGTTTCACAGGATATACTGTAAAGCGGATTGATTGTTTATTTTGTGGGTGAAATGCAGCAGCCAGTTACACCAGTAGTGTTCCACAAAGAACCATGGAGTGAGTGACCAATTTTATTTTGGGGGACTGTTGGTCAGGACACCGGGAGAAACTCCCAGCTTTTTTTGAATAGTGTCACAGGACCTTTAACATCCACCTGAAAAGGTAGATGGGACCTTAGGACAGCATCTGTGACAAAATGCACTTATAATTTTACAGCATTGCAAAAAAGATCATCTTAGTTCTCCAATGATGCAACTCTTGCCCCTCCTTCCCTTGAATTTACTTACGTAAAGGGGCTAAACAAAAAGGACAGAGTGGTCTCTTTTTTCTGTTGCATTTTTATCTGAAAAATAGAAAATTAAAATATCTTCAGATCACAAAAAATTATAATCTGAACATTAAATCATAGATCTCTTAAACACCTTCACATTTCAATAAATTATCATCGACAACTTTTACAGAGCCTTAGGGATTTTCCAGTAAGCTTTTTCACTCCCAGCACCTCCCTAGCTCTCTGACCTCCTCACTCCCCAATCCACCAATTGACGCCTCTGCTTGACTGGCACCGGCCTCCTGCTCGTCCCTCGCACTCTCCATCAGAGGTCGCGCTTTCTGCCACTACTCCCCGAAACTCTGGAACACTCTCTCTCAATCCCTCGACCTTGCCCTCTCTCTTCCCTTTTTCAAGTTCCACCTGAAAACCTTCCTTTTTGACTGTGCTTACGACCACCTCCCCACCCCGACTCGAAGTCAGGCTCTGCCACTGTTAAGCACTCTGAGACATTACCCTGCATGGAGGGTGCTATATAAGTGCAAGTTGTTGTTGCTGTTGTTTTCGTCCATTCTCCCTTCACTATTTACAATTTTAAATGTTATTTTCCCTTAGTCCTTTATTTTAACCATTTGAAACCAAAATCTTATTCAGTGTTCTGCATCTGTTCTGTCCTCCATTCTATAGCAAAACCCCATAGAAATCAGACAATAGAGCTTTGGCTTTAAAACATTCATGAGATTGAATATTAAAGTTTCACCTGGGCGGCTCTTTGGTACCTTTCAAGTCAATCTAAATCACCCATTGAGTTAACTAAATCGGAAGTGCGACAGAGTGAATATGCCAAAATGAGTATCCCAGCACCATTGCCTTGGAACTAATAATAGGAAGCAAGTTAAATGCTAAATTATGCAGACTCAATTAATAATGAGAACCTATAAGAAATGAAAGTCAATTAAATTGCTCAAAGAAGTGTTAAGGTTGAATCCTGATTTAGTAGCGTGCAGAAGGTATGACAGAGCTACAAATGACTGTTTGGAAAATGAAGAAGAATGATTTAATTCTGAACGAGGTTGATTAGCTAGATGGCTGTATTACTGGTCTTATGTTCTTTAAAGAGCCCTCAACATCAGAATTTACTTTACTATCAAGACTACTTTTAAAAAATAATAAATTAAACTGTTACAAAGAGTTCTAATTAATAGTAAGATTATTTGTTTCAGCTAAGGTTTAATATTTTTATTTAAACATTTGGTGCACATCATCACAGTACAGCCTTAAGATTTTACTAAAGTCTGACATTAAAGGAGAAAAGACTAGGTTTTGTTCATTTGCTTGGTCCACAGAGAGAGAGGCTTTACGGAACAAATGACCTTCAGGAGGACCTGTGCATTATCAGAGGGAATGAGAATGTCCTGAATGACCAGAATAACCTTTTCTCATTTATTCATTGCACAATCCACATTCATATTCAAAATCTAGTAGCAGTGAATTGACCGTTAGTGCAGTTCCGAGGGAGTTAGAGGAGATGGTAAACTGTGGAACCATCTTTCTTTTCTTTAAATGGACATTAAAAATGGCACGCACAAAATCCCATGACACAATGTAAAAAGTTTCTAGTGCTATTCTGGTCAACAATCCTCCAGATAAATTGGTAATTTACCTCATGATTGTATGTGGGACTTTCCTGTCTGCAAAATGTTTGCTGCATTTGCCTACAAAATAGAAAGCCACTACAAGTAGGACTAATTATTGTAAAGCTCTTTAAGACGTTTCAACATTACAGGGACTTTGAAAATGCAACTTCTTTATTTCTCACTTCAATATGATTTCACAACCTTGTGAGTTACTTGAATTTTGGATTGATCCAGTACTTCATGTCTTGTCAGTTTTGTCTTGTCATAGTGTCCCAGAAACAAGCAAGTAACCATTTAACAAACTTTGTGGCAATTTAAATGGAGTATTGACGTCATGGACGGATTGGGGAAAACAGATCCATAAAGGGAAGGAGAAAGATTAAATCAAATAGAAAATACATGTATTTGAAATAACATTTATACATTTTTAATTGATCATTTCAAATCCTTGTTCATTATACAAAAAAAAGTCATACCGTAAATTGTTCCAATATCTGCATGGCATTTGCTAGCATGCTCTCAGCTATGAAGAGGTCACTGCTGTTTAAATACTCCCAAGGTAAAATGCCCTGTCAAACAAAATATAATATTTAATCCGAAATTCCCGGGGCAAAATATTTGGAAATGCTGCTGAAAAATAAATACAAGTTCAAATCCATGTAAAGAACTGTGGATCTATAGCACTACACTGCAGTCGTCACGTCTTCCAAGAATTGCTGGGAATACCGCAGGGAATATGTAATAGTTTATGTGTTAAAGATGCAACAACATGTCATTCACTGATAAATATGAAGTGCTCTCACAAAAAATAGATGAAGAGGGAAGGCGAGGAAGCAATATACAGCTGAGAAATTTATTTTCAACCCCTAACTCTCATGAAATAAACAAGATGAAAAAAAAGTAGTAGCTTACCACAGAATTCAGAGGGTATGAAGTTCCTATTAAAGCAGCCATCAGTGGAGCTATATCAGCCTGTGTTTTGCAAAATAGAAAAGGACAATGGCAAAAATTTGTAATGATCATAAATAAGAAGAATAAGAGCTTCAAATGAACATACATTTTGCATTCCAAATACAAGTATTCCACATTCAACTGTTCAAGAGAAGCATTAGCACAGACTGAAAACACAGTTCTTGTCAAAGCTTTCAATCATGGAATTAACTTTGGTATTTCAAATGGGCTCAGGAGGTAGCATTAACGGCATTAGGTCAGTTGACAGAAGATTTAAGCCGCACATGAGGATTCACGATCTGGACTAACACTTCAATGGAGTGCTGACTTGCTGGAGGTATCATCCTTCAGCTATAGAATCACTGTTGTCTGTACAGTTTGCCTGTTCCGGTGGGCACTATTTGAAAAGAGGAGGGAGTTTCTCCAAGTGTTCTGGCTAACAATCCCTCAAATAAAATTGGTCGTTCACTTCATGGCTGTTTGTGGGACACTGCTGTGCTCAAATTGGCTGCCACAATTGCCTACAAGTGCAGTAAATCACCTGAAGCTTTTTGAGATGTCCTCCTGATGTGAAAAGTGCTATAACAAATGCATTATTATATTATTATTATGATTATTAATAATGCAGCTCAAAATAACTCACTGCTTTTAGCGATTTTACAATGAAAAAGTACTTTTTTTTAGGTCAGTCGGGTGTCTGGCACATGCGGAAACCGAACTCTATTCTTAAGAGTATCCAAACAAAGCTGAGATTTCCATGTATCCCACCTACACATTGAAATCCCAGACATAGATTGTTGGAATGGAATGCGCACTCTGTCCCTGGAGGAACGCTTCCCGCTTACCTAATTCCAGAAAGTATTAGGCGCAGATTGGGAAGAGCTAAGGCTATATTAAATGCAAGATGCCTTGAATATTGAGAGAGAGAAAATAACATGCAAACGTGGTATAAAAGGGAAATTTAAAGCTTTAAGATCTATTATATCTACAAAATTATATAGAAATCTATAAACCTAAATTATTTCAAAAGACTGCATTGGGGAGTTGCATTAACAACATTACACAAACTACCTACAAAATGAAACTATTTAAGAATTCCTAACATTAAAGCAACTTCTTTGGGGAACTGTAACAACTTTTGAAATGCTGCTTTAGAAAAGGAATTATGCTTCAAAAGTCCTAATTGTGGGTCTTCTATGCAAATCACAAGGCCATAAGGCCTAAAAATGGAATCTCAGCATGCAATTTTGTATTAATTAGTTTCAGAAAATGGTGAACGTGGAGTTAAAGTAAACACCAGATAAAACCTAACAATCCATGTATTGCATTAAGGCTCATGCAGAAATGTCTTGTAACCATATAAGTTGGGGAAGCTGCATGTTCATCACCACAGAGAAACACACATACACAACAGCAGCATGGTTGGCTAAAACAAGAACACTACATTGAAACAGAGTCATAAATAACGTAGTTTGCATAGAAAAGACACAATCGCTACACATTACAGTATATTCTGTGAAGCTCTCTGAGATGTCCACCCCTCATGAAATACACCATAACAAATGCAAGGAATATTGCAAGAGTAAGCCATCTGGATTACCCAATAAACATTTTGTCCACAAAGTATATTGTCAATTCACGTTACAGTATATTCTGTGAAGTGCTTTGAGGCGTCTCGAAGATGTGATAAGGTGCAATATCAAATGCAAGGATTATTGTTCCTATAACATATCCTTCATCATCTCATAACTCTTACATTTCCAGAATCTTTCCATTTTGAAACCCTTCAGTTTCTTCAACATAAGACATCTATGCATTTATTGATAACATAAACTTTGGTTAGGTGAATGATCACTTAATTTGCTTTATTTAGCATTTGGCTGATGGAGGAATATTGGTCAGATGAAACACTGTGTTCTTCATGCTTTGTTGGTTAATCATAGGAAATCTGGAACCCACAAAACCTACAGTCCACCTGACTGGCCCTAAAGTTTTAATATATCATATATATTCTTAAGAAATAAATAAGATAATACTAAATATTCCAACTACTTTATCTTCATAACTTTCAAATTAATTTTTCAGCAAATGTCTGATTTGTTCTCGTATCTGTTGAACAATTTGCGTCCACTGCCTCCTAAATAGAGGTTTCCATGTATTCCAACAGTTTCTGTGAAAAATAGTTAAACCTCAATTTGTTTGCTTGCCTTCTCTTGCGATCTTGAGCTCATGACCCCTTGTTTGGATTGTTGCGCACGTTAAACGTATTATAGTGCAGCACTTCACGTTATAATGCACCTCACAACAGCACAAACTCATGTATACCACGACTGCACTGTGTACACCATAACGACTAATCATCCGTGCAGTCGATCCTGCTCCATGCATAGGAGGTTTAGCAATAATGCTTCCTGCTTTTTTGCACATGTTCTATACAATTTATTATGTTGGAGGCGATCTAATAAACTGGAAGTCAGCTATGCTAGTTTCTAACACTAAAAAGGCCAACTTCCAGGTCATCAGATTGCTGCCAACATCATTTCCTGCTTTGCTCATACGCAGGCTGATGGCCTGAAAGACAGCTATTTATTCTTTAAGGCTAGTGCACAGGGAAGCTGCTTTTTATTGCGCTGATTGAAATATCGACCAAAGTACTATAAACAGCTGATTGTCAAAGTAAGCAGGGCCTCCTTGCCATTAAGGAGATGAGCAATGCATCTCCTACCCTTCAAAATATGAAAAAGGCTAAATCCTTGATTCTAAAATGTGATTTTGTTTATTATAAATATTCACCGTATTAGTTGCCTGTCTCTGATCTTTAACTCAATTTTCGCGTGATTGAAGTACCAGAAGTAATTGATCTAACTTCTCTTTGACAGTCTACCATGCATTCCTGTTATTTTCTATTTATATTTCCGGCTTCAATCATCTATGGCTTTTTAATCTTCATTTATCCATTTCAGATAGATACAGTAGTCATTTTATATACAGATTACCAGCCTCAGATTTGATATTGTGTGCAATGATTCGTAAGTGTTTCATGATTGCTAAGATTTGGCAAGAAAAACATTTGTTTTGTTTAGATGCTGGTCAGCAGCAAGGATCATTATAAATTGTGTAATAAAGTGTACATTTTAACTAGAGCACAGTCGGAGAATTAATTAACTCTGGATGCATGCAGACAGTTAAAAATGCCAAATGATCTCCCCCGAGGCTTTATTATAAGGGAGCACCATGAATCATAACGTTAATATCAAATCCAATGTAAAACAAAATACAGAATAAGCTAACTGTTTTACCTGATTTACATCTAATCTCTTCCAGTCATTTAGTTTCCATTCTGAAAGAAGACAACAGAGCACATATATGGGGTAAAAATAATTTTACAAAGTTAAATTAAAATAAAGTTAAAATTAACCTTTAGCTGCTCGACTGTACCAGATAGTAAAATTCTGTCAGATAACAACAACAAGATTACATTTGTATAGCGCCTTTCACATTGGGGGGACGTCTCAAGGCGCTGGACAGTGTACAGCATTTCAGACCCGAGCTGGGGTCAGGGGGGAGAAGGGAGGGGACGGGAAGGGGGGTGACCAAGTCTCAAAGTGCTTCACAGGATATACTGAAAAGTGTTGTGACTATATATTTTGTGGCTGAAACACAACAACCAGTTTGCGCACAGAAATGTCCCATTTATAGCCATGGAGTGAGTGAAAAATTATATCTGGGCGACTATTGGCCAGGAAACCGGGAGAAACTCCATTTTTTTTGAACAGTCCCGTGGGATTTTTAACGTCCATCTGAACAGGCAGAGAGGACCTCTCATCCAAAGGACGGCACATCCAATAATGCCGTCCCAGCACTGCATTAGAGTGGCATCTTAGACAATGTGAGCTTAGACTGAACAGATAATGTTCACAAAATGAAGCATGTAGATAGCAGCTTCCTGGGCACTAAATCCAAGCCACTGGATGACCCAGTTAAGTAATGTAAATAGAAACACTTGTTAGTAATACTGAATTATTGAGTACATCAACTGATTTTTTTCCTCAGAACACATCATTGTCTTCACAACAGTATAGGAGCAATGAACATCAATGTTTATATCAAATTGGCACAGTGGCTACCAGGAATGCAAGGCTGCCTGCACTAGCCTTTTTACATTAAAAAAACATGTTCAGCTCACACACTGGGATGGTGATTCAAACGCTATGGTTACAGAAACGTTATCATTATAATTTAACCACATACAACTAAAATAAACATTTAAAAACATTTTAAATTGAAATCATTTAAAAATCTTCAATGTAATTTAACTAATTTTCCAATGATCTTTAACTCAATTTATGGTGCTGCCAGCAATAATTCATCTAACTTCTCAATTACCCAGCCTCTCTTTCCTCCATTCTCTCCGGTTGCAGGCAACTAATAATAATTTAAGACTTACCTCTTTGACCGCATTTTCGGTCATCTTTCTTCCCCCAACCTACCCAGCTTGGGTAACCAGCAGCTGTGTAAAGCCGTTTGAGCTATCCTGCTGACATCAAAGGCCCTATATAAATTGTATATCTGCATAACTTTGCTTTAAGCAATCTGATTACGTCTCCTTCCCCTCTCTCAAGCTCATTCTTCTGCCACAACTAATCTTGCTATGATAGGGTGATTTGTTCCCAGGCCATTCTTAATTCTGTTCAGGAACTTGACATAGTTAGACAAGAGTAGTCCAGAGTAAGATGTAATTTTACCTCATCTAAATTCTACTTATTCTTCTAGTGTAATCACCCAATAATATGGGAACTTTCTGTGAAATGATAACTAATATGTTGGCTCACAAGAGTAGAAACATGCATTTATAATTTCAGATCAGCTGAATATCTCAAAGAGCTTAAAATATATGATCGAGAGAAAGGAGGGAAAATAAAGGTGTTGATCAACAGCAGGCTCAAGGTGATATGTTTCTTAAAATAGGAAGAAGAAGCAAAACAACGAGATTCATAGATTTGACCCTCAGAATTCCAACTGTAGCGCATCGTAAATTTGAAATGTTTAACTTCCATCCGAATGCCAATAAAAACAATCTCCTACATTTACCAGGTAAATATCAACACTTTGTCTTTATAATTATAATAACGATCCTTGCATTTGATATAGTGCCTTAGCACGTCTTCGGGAAGTCTCAAAGCACTTCACAGAATATACTGGAAAGTAAAACAACTGTATATTTTTTGGGCCAAACATGACATGTAGGATAACATTTCAGAGCCTTTACTGGGATAGGGATGCATGCTGAGCAAGGAAATGAAGGGAGGGGGCGACAACCCTAGGTGTGTTTAAAAAGGCAATATTTGAGGCAGGACTTAAAGACAGGAGCCAAGACAGAATGGTAGTGATAGAGGGAGGGAATTCCAGCGGTTAGGGCATAAGAAGACTCGACCACCAATGCTGGCGCAGAGAGGGTGGGGACATAGAGGTTCAATTAATTTGTAATTGTAATAATCATAAATTATTGTAATTCAGGTTTATAAATGGGAATCTCCAATACAAAACCACTTTAGGAAGGAGGTTGCAGAAGAGATTTACTAAAATACCAGGGATGAGGGGTTTGGCCTATGAGCAGAGACTGAAGGAACTGTGACCTTTCCAACTGGAAAAAAAAAGCTGAGGAGTGATCTGATAGACGCCTTTAAAATTATGGGGTGTAATTATTTCCACTGGTCGATGGATCAGTAACTAGAGGACATCAATTAAGATATATTAAGATATTTTGCCCACAAATATATAGTCAATTCACTTTACAGCATATTCTGTGAAGCGCTTTGAGACGTCTAGAAGACGTGAAAAATGCTATAACAAATACAAGGATTATTATTATTAGTAGTAGTATATATAGTAGTTAGCAAACAAGAGAAATAAGTTAGGACAATTTTTTTTATGCGTGGTGTAGTTAGGATACAAAATGTCCTGTCGGGAGCAGTGGCCTTGTTCAGCGCTGTAAATTTCTATGGTTCCATGGCTCAGTAAGAAAAGGATGAGATGCACAAATCTCCTCTGTAGCCACCAAAGACAAGAATTTCCTGATAGCTAAAGAAATACATTTGCTATCAATTCCATTACCTAGTCCCACAGCACACCTTTCTTTCTAGAAACAATTTACTGGAGTTTCGTAAACTACTTGCAGTAATAAATTGTTTAGCATGAATTTATGCCAAACTTATGAGATAATATGTTATCGGTAACTGGTACCATTCAAGCTGCAAATTAACTGTACCTTTTTTGGTGTTCACTTTTAAACCATCAATATTAAACACTGCTTACAGTACCTTGCAAAAAATCATCTGGAAACTGCTGGCCTGAACCTGGTCGTGGTCCATTTACTCCGGCTCCCCACGCAACCAATGGAGTTAGTGTTTCTGAGGGATGGCCTGCACCATGGGAACCTACAGCATCAGATAAATAAATAGATCACTGTACAGATTTGATGTGATGCAATGCACAGAATGACTCTAACTCAAAAGAAAAGACAAAAAAAAGTAAATTTTGCTTTGTGTACTTTTGAATTTGAACATAAAACTTGGATTTTATTTGTCTATTGAGTAGAACAGTTCATTTAGGGTGAATAGCTCACTAGTGACATCATGCTGTGAACATGTAAATGACCAGAAGTTCTGGAAACAAAGAGGATAGTTTTTCACGTTAGTGAAGAGCATATAACACATCAGCCCTGATAAGATAATCTGTGTTTTTTCTATGGAAATGTAGCTTTGGTTATAACATCATTAAAAAGCTATGAAACACAGCACATGTTGACTTTTAAATATTATTTCCCATGTATCAATCTTACAGGCAATACATCTATGAGTGATACAAACAGAAACAAAACTATAATTAAATTACTAAAATGCATCTGTTATATGTAAAATGTAGATATGCTCTTCATCAGTTTAATCCACCAAGGAATACGACAATATTATATATTAAAGGGTACTTTATTTTGATAGCAGTGAACCTTAAAACATGACTCTATTTAATTGTAATATTCTGTTTTACCACTTGCAAGTGGATATTTCAATCCATGAAAGATACAATAACAAAATTACATTTATAGAGCACCTTTCACGTCGGGAGGACATCCTAAAGTGCTGAACAGTCAGGTGTTGGGGCCCGAGCTTGGGGGAGGGGTGGTGTAGCGGTGAGGGAAGGCAGAGAGGTGGGAGGGAGACCAAAGGCACGGTCGAAGAGAAGGGTCTTGAGACCGGCCTTGAAGGAGGCAAGGGAGGAAGCTGGGTGATGCTGACATAACTTCCTGTATGCTGCGCATGTGCACAAATCACAAAAAGCCCCATTTACATCACTTCTTTTGCAAAGTGGCATCAATGGCACTTCTTGCACATAGGAAGCTGAACACCATGCACTGATAATGCAGACAGTTGGCTGGTCAGCACCAGAAGCAAAGTGTTTCAGTCCACAGATACCAGTGCTATGGTTAAGACAACGATAGACCAAGAGAGAAGTTATAATGGGATTCTCTCTATTTTCACCTCTCTCAGTTTTCTCTCAATTTGTAACATTATTGTATAAAGGCACTTCAATTTTTTTATGAAAATTGGACCAGGTCAAAGTTATTGAATACCCTTAATAAGGGGACCCTTAATAAAAAAAAATTATATAGCATCTTATCAAATCAGAATACCTCAAAGAGCTTCTGTTTTTCTGTGAAGTGTTTTGACTGTGTAGTTGTAAACAATTTCCTTTTAGCAATATAAAAAAAATTAAATACTAACATAGCCATACAATTTGCAAAATACTGAAAAAATCTATGTGCAGTCTAAATGGGATCATTAGAGAAACTAAAAAAGCTCCTACCCCAATCTGTCATTCCATGATCAGAAGTAAAAATAAAGGCAGTTTTCCCATCATTTCCGTAGAAGTTTTCAATGATGGACACCACTTTCTGGATACCTGCATCAACTATTCGGACATTCTCCTTGTACTCGCTGTGTACAGGGTGAGGAAAATAATACTGCATTAAATATATAACTCAGCTAAAACATGCTGCAGTGCCTCATCAGTTTAATAAACTCCTTTCAGCAATAACACGTCTAAGTTAGTTTAGTTAAATTTTGCTTGAGTAAATTTATCAGATTTTATTGTTCAGTTTATCAAAATGCAAAAAATATAGTTATACATTCTTATGTTGAATAAAACATGAAGTACAAGAATAAAGTTCTTTTTCATAAGCTAGTAAATAAAGCCACCTTTGAAGTTGTACATTAGTGTACACGGACCAGATGATGGGAGCAGTTAAAATACTCTCTTTTCAACCTCTGGGTCCTGGGCATCAGTCCAACTAAGACAGATGGGATGCAAGTGTGCTGTTGAGAGTCCTAAATGAAATTAGTCTCGACAGTCTCAAACCTGCTCCAAGCCTAAAATTTGGCTAATTGTCCAATCTCTCAGAGAAACCAGAATAATATTTAGCATAGAAAATTATTTAAAGTCACAATGCAGCCATAAAGGGCTACTTTCTGAGCTTCGACTCATATTACCTGACATGGGTGCACTGAGGAAAATATGCTGTTGATGGCATTATAATGCTTGAATATTTTTCCATTAGTTATACATTTAATTCCAAACAGCCCTGTAGAAGGGCTATGCCAAGTATCAATTAAAGCAATACAGATCATGCAAGACCCCAACTTGAGCTTGGTTTCTGATATATTACCGATGTCAGCAAGAATGGCAGAAGGGACACAACAATTGACTTCAGTGCCTCTCGGCTAAGGAAGGGTAAAAATAAAATGTAACCATAGTTACTATATTGTCTGGTGACCCAGGCTGGAAAGTGAGGATCTTAGTTGATGACATGCGATTCTCTCCTATCCCCACTGTCAAATTACATATCACCCACTATCATAGGAGCATAGCAAGAGGAGGAGGCCTTCGAGCCTGTTCCGCCATTTAATTAAATCATGGCTGATCTGAACCTCAACTAATCCTTTCAATTCCTATCTGGTTCCACACCTGATAAACATCCACTTTGGGTGAACTTTCAACAAGTGTCCATTGTTGTGTAACAGTTCCCAACATGAGTTTGCATGTTCTGGAGATAAAGTGGAGACATGGAGAGTGCTCGGAAGAGAGAAAACCTAGCCTACTCACAATTACAATAAATTCTAATAAAGTGCTCCACAAACTAATCAGTGATATAAACATCTGAGTCCTGTAATAGATGAAACTGGATCCAGTTAAGTAAAATCTTCATTGACAAGCGTTTTCCCCCAAAAAATAACTAGATTGTTTTTTACATGAACTGTTGTCCAAATAAGTTATGATCTCCAGATCCTAGAATTATTTTATGCATTCCCTACAATGTGTTAACAACTGGCAGGATTGCACTGCTGGTTCCTATTTCAAGTAGCCTGTTGTTAAAAATCAATACTTCAATGATTTTGACTGGGTCTGCTATTTTTTTAAAAAAAGCATAAAATGTTTGCTTAGATTAAAACGTGTGCCACTTATTTTTAAAATATTAAAGCATGGTAGCATAGCTTTCCATCAGCAGCAGCAACAACAAATTAAATTTGTGTAGCACCTTTCACATCAGCAATCTATTTGGGGTGTGGCGCATCATAAATGAGCCCAATTCTGCCCTCTTCTGATGTGCACAAGGAGGGAGTTTAATTCAGTTATGTAGGGTGATGTAGGGTGGTCTGAAATGCTGTACACTGTCCAGCGGCTTGGGACATACTCCCGACGTGAAAGGCGCTGTACAAATGTAATCTTGTTGTTGTTATTGTTCATTTAAAATTAAGATTAATACTGCCCATGAAATGGCAGGTATAGGCAATGCACTGTTAGATAGTATAAGAATACAATATTAGTACAATCAGTAATTACCTTGACATTGGCCTGTACGCATGTCCATTTGTGTCCAACCCAAGTAAATGGAGGAAATAAACTATCTTGTCTTCTCTCATTTTATCTAAGAGAATTTTGTTACTTGCAAATTCAAAAAATTCCTAAAGGAAATAAAACAAGAATATAACATAACGATACTAAGTTATTTTGCAATGAGCATTTCAACAGGACAGATAACCTATCTGGATATCTGGAAAAAATGCTTTCATTTCATTACCTAAGGATTATGCAGTACTGAAAGTGCGTATTTTTCTCTAATAAGCTACAATCTTCTCTATACCAGGGGTGGGCAAAATACAGCCCACAGACCGTATCCGGCCTGCCAAATGATTCTATCCGGCCCGTCATTGTGTCGAGCAATAGAAAAAATTATAGTTTGTTCAGTCCCAGAAAATCCAACAAATTTCGAATTTGAATCAGACCGGGAACATCAGCCAATCACATTGCTTAGTTGTGCGCACGCTCCCTTAAGTGTCGAATCAGACTGACGTCAGAAATGAATGGATTGGAAAATTTTCAAACACGCACGCGCGACAACCACGGCAATACTTTTCACTGAAGACGACGTTAATTCAAAATGAGTTTATCAAAGAAGCAGAAAGTGGACGCTGAAGGCCGAATATTCAACAAAGAATGGACTTCTAAATTTTTTTTACTAATGTGGGTGGAAAAGCTGTGTGCTTAATTTGCAAAGAAAGTGAGGCAGTGCTCAAAGACTCCAACTTGAATCGCCATTTTGAGAGCAAACATGCTTGCAAACATAAGAACGTTTCTGCTGCAGAAAAAGGAAAGAAAGCTGATGATCTCAGCTGATGGTTGTTCGAACGCAAAAAGAGCAAAGCATTTTCACAAAACAATTTGCGTTCCAGGATGAGATTACAAGAGTGAGTTATGTGATTGCACACAAAATCATGAAGAACAGCAAACCATTCTCTGAAGGAGAATTTATAAAGGAATGTATAGTTGACTCTGCTTCGATTTTATGACCAGACAAGAAAAAACAGTTCGAGAACATTAGCTTGTCAAGGTGAACTATTGTGAGACGTGTCGAGGATATCTCTGAGAACCTGCATCTACAGTAACAAAATAAAGTAAGCAATTTTGCATGTTTTTCACTGGCACTCGATGAGAGTTGTGATGTCAAAGACACAATCCAGCTGATAATTTGTATTCGAGGTATCACCAAACATTTTGAGCTCACAGAAGAATTGGCATCAATGCAGTCAATGAAAGATACGACAACTGGAGAAGACTTTTTGGAGGCAGTAAATAAGTGTATCTTAAAATTAGGAGTGGGGTGGAAAAAATTGGTGAATGTGACCACTTGATGGAAGCCCAAATCTGACAGACAAAAATGTTGGGTTACTGAAAAGAATTCAAGATCAAGTCAAAGAAACAAATCCAGAACAGAATATTGTTTTTCTACACCGCATTATCTACCAAGAGGTCCTCTGTAAGAGTGTTCTAAAACTAAGCAATGTCATGGACACAGTTACGAAAGTGCTCAACTGCATTTGAGCAAGAGGATCAAACCACAGGCAATTTGTAACTCTGCTTGAGGAATTGGAATCCGAGCACACGGATGTTCTGTATTGCACGAATGTAAGATTGACTTAGTTTAGGAAAGGTCTTGAAAAGAGTGTGGGAACTGAGAACAGAGATTGATTTATTTTTGGACATAAAACAAAAAGATTCGGATTTCCCACAGCTGAATAATGCAAATTGTCTCTCTGATTTCACATTTGCCATTGATATCATGGGCCGCATGAATGAACTGAATTCAAAACTGCAATGGAAGGGGGACTTTGTGTATGAATTGTGTTGCAGTGTCAAGTCATTTATGACAAAATTATTTATTTTATTGCGTCAGATAGGAAACAGGCAGTTCACCCACTTTCCAACTTTGCAGCAGGTTACTGTTTGTGATCAAAGCCTTAAAAAGTATATTTCGTCACTACTTGACTTACGTGCTGAATTTTCTCGCCAATTCCAGGATTTTAATTTGATTGAAAACGACCTGTCTTTGGTCTCTTCACCTTTCTGATTTGATGTTGACAAAGCCCCATTTGACCTCAAACTCAAGCTTATTGACCTGCAATGTGATCCATTGCTTGCGGAGCAATTCAAATCAGTGCTGCTTGCCAGTTTTTACATCTCTCTTAATGAATATACCTTTCCAAAAATAAAGACTCATGCCCGGAGGATGCTTGTGCTGTTTGGATCACCATACATATGCGAGGAGACATTTTCTATGATGAAATTCAATAAATCAAAACATATCTGTGATGACCGATGACCACCTTGCAGCAGTCCTCCGCATTGCAAAAATGGAGAAGATGCCTGACTTCAATTGTCTGGTTAACGCACATCAGCACTTTCATTCTTCCCATTGAGTGAGCTTCTCACATTCTCATCAATATGTGAATAAATTAATAAATATCGAATAAATGTCTGCTCAATGAGTTGTTTTTATTTAACCTAATTTTAATGAATATCATTTATATAGACTTTATTTTATGCATGTACAAGTGTAAGACTTGATTTTGAGCTATTATTAAGCATTTGCATCTATATCAAGTGTGTGGCCCGCGAAGCTTACCAAAACTCGTGAAGTGGCCCGCCAGCCAAAATAATTGCCCACTGTATACTGTTCTATACTTTTCTATACTGATAAAACAACAATCTGTGTGTGTGTGTGTGTATATATATCAGATCTCAATGACCGATTGATGTAGAGACATGATTTATATCTCATCGGAAAGGTCTTTCATCTGGGATTGTTGTAGGCATTTTTGTTTTCTCAGATCTGCTATCATTGACGAGCTGTGGCCTAAACAAGCTCATCACACATGTATGGCAATTTTTTTCGTTTTGTGCTGCAGTTACACCTGATGGTCGCTTTAGGTAGTTGGTTTTAAAAATAGCTTTGTTAATCCTAGCTGATTTTGGGCGAAAAAAAGCATTGATGACTTTGGAGGAGGTCTGCTGTTTGGCCTCTCGTTGGGGAATGGGCTGAGGTGCCGGCTGACCCAAGAAAGTCAAAATGCAAATACCTTTTTTAAAAAATAAATCAATGACCTTCAATTAAAAAAAAGAGAAATTTCCCTGTTTAATTTTAATGCTTTCCTTACACTTCAGACTCCCAGTGTCACACACAAAATACAGGGTGGGATCCAGCTCAAAGGCTGTACCAATTCCCCCAGAAACAGTGAGTAGGAGATGCCCCGCAGAAGTGAAGAGCCTGTCATTGTGGTGCAGTCTCATTAGTTGTGCATTGGAGGAGTTTGGGCATCATTTAATCAATAAATCAATGAAAATTGCCCCCCATTTCTTTGAATCTGACTTAAAAACAACACATTCTGGCTTCTGAACCAGATACCAGCAGTGGATATCTGGTTGCTTTTTCATTAGAGAAAACCTTCAAACTAGCAGTCGGTCTAATTCAGTGCTCAATAAGCTGTGGAGACTTTATAAATCTCCCAAATGTTGGGAATGCGGAGTCAACAAGGCTGTAAGAATGTTTCACACGATTACTTAAGAAGCATCATTTTAATATTTAATGACGTTATGAATTATAACTACCATAATGAAATATTGTTTGTTATCAAGTTCAATATGAGAAGACAAGCAAACATGCTACAGGTTAGCACTCCATCTAACTTGTTTTTTGTGGGGGTGAGTGCGCTGTCTTTCGTCTTTCCAGTGTACTGAGTCAACAATATCCCATTCTAGATCTAAGTTCCAAAGAGAGTCAGTTACAGAAAAACGTGAACTTTTCTGCACTGATGTTAACACACTATCAGTCTCCCTCCACCCCCATGCTCGATTACATTGATAAAGCAAAATTATAAGAAATACAGGGTTGGGAGATACATGGCAAAATTATTTGTCCATGTAAATTATGAATTAACATAATTCATTTATATATTCTCCAAAACTGATCATATGAAAGATTAGGATGAAGAAGACCCTTTGGTTCACTTTAAAAGTAATAATCTTCGTAACCCTAATTATAAGGTAAATTACAATAATTACATAAATCGCTTTATAGCAAAGAACTAGTTAAAAAGGGAAGAAAAAAAAGGCAAATTTCCTGGAAGAAAGTCAGAATTTTCCATGTTTTTCATAAACGAACAAGCCAGAGTAAATACCTTTACTTCATTGAACACCCAAGTATCTAGTTTTGAAGCATCTTTAGCAGCAAAGTCTTCATTCTCAGATGGGTACATATACGTGTGAATATGATCACCGCTGGCACCTAAGTCACAAAGTTGTACTATTAAGAAAAAAAATTCCACATCACCTATAACATTGAATCATCTCAAACTGCTTCACAGAATTATTAAGTGTATTGACATTTTTTGTAGGTAAACATAGTAGCCATTTTTCAATAAGCAAAGTCCAATAACCAACCAGCAATGAATGGAATGATCAAATTATTAGGCATATAATTGTTGGCCAGGACATCATCCCACTCAACAGGCATATAGGGCCTTGATTTAACATCTCATCCGAAAGTCAGCATCACCGACAATGCAGTGCTGCATTGGAATGTCAGGCTTGATAGTGATCCCAAGTCCCAAAGTAGATTTGAGGCAGCATTCTTAAGAACTAGAGGTAAGAGTCCTGATACTTCAATAATGTCAAGAAATCTGTTAAAACAACAACAACTTGGATTTACATAGCGCCCCCCACGCCGCACAGCGTCTCAGAGTGCTTTACAGTAACGGATCCCGGGACCGAGCCAGTGGGAGGGGGAGGAAGGTGACCAAAGGCGCGGTCGAAAAGAAAGGTCTTCAGCAGAGACCTGAAAATGGGAAGGGAGGGAGCGAGACGAAGGGAGTGAGGAAGGCAGTTCCAGACCTTCGGGGCATAGTGGCTGAAGACACGGCCGCCAGGCAGTCAGTGCCAGCCAGTGCAGTCTGGAAAAGACTGGGGTGATCGGGGAGCGGAGTTTCATGCGGGTGAGAATGCGGGCGGCAGAGTTTTGAACGATTTGGATTTTATGGATGGTAGTGGCTGGGAGACCGGCAAGGAGGGCGTTAGAGTAGTTCAGCCGAGAGGATTTCAACCACATGGTTCTCTTCACTGGTGACGCCTTGCCAGAGTGGTATGTGCAAAATAGCTTTGAAAGGTGTTTCACAAGGAGTCAAAGTAACATTTGAAAAATGTTAAAAGGAAATAATACTTATTCGTTTCCTGTACATTTTGCTAAAGCACTACAAATCTTGCTGAGTGCAGTTTGACTTTTACGTAAAACATGGGAAAACATTGCGAGTGCTGTGGCAAGCACTGATGTGAATGTAGTTAATATGATTAAGTATCATTTCAATAAAGCATAAGTCAACCCAGACTACAGAGACCATGTCTATTTTTCTCCAACTGGTGCATTCAGCATAGATTAATGTTATTTCACCACATTTTGAAATGGAATAGTGTATTGTGAACCTCACCTTTGGCGAACATAGGTAAAATGTCTGGACTTCCCCAGCACCACGTGGATTTGCTCTCATTAAAAATTGAATCGAATTCTACTGGGTTTTCTTTCCAACCTGTATAAATTGAAACATTTACTTTGAGTCAATAAACCAATTCTCATAGCTATTGTTTAAAGTAGTCCAACTTAAGCAATTCATCGCTAACTAGGTTTTGTTAAACAAAGCCCTTCGGGACACTGGACTTTTCTTCCAGAATATGAGACCTACCATTCAAGATCCCCATTCATACATTCAAATGCTGCTACAGTCCTCATGATGTCCTTCAACCCTGTTGGCCCAGCCACTATCATTGCTCAGTGAACACCAACCAGCCTGCTTCATGTCCCTTGCTCCATCTGCCTTCCATCAGCGGGTGGGACTTCAGCCATTCTGTCCACATTTTCTGGAACTCCATCCCGGTGTCCCTTGAACTTGTGCTTTCCATTACCTCATTCAAGGTCCATGTCAAAATGTACCTCTTTGACCATCAGTCATCTTTCCCCTCCCCACCCCCCTTTGACTTTCACCCTCAGCTCAGGTTTCCAGACAGCCGTGTTAAGCGTTTTGAGTGCTATATAAATGTAAATCATACTTCTTTGTCCAATAACAGAATTTTTCACTTTTTTTAAAACAAGCCTTAAATCTTTTACCCCCTTCTCGGTAGCTCATTCCAGCTACTAACTACTTCTCCATAAAGAAAAACTGCATTGCATGTGTCCTAAAAATGCAAAAATAGCATTGGTTTTATTACTGGAATGGGATGGTACACAATGGGAAAAGGTACAACACCAGATTTCTTAACACTATATGATTAAACACATGAAAAATTCAATAATTCTCCATCTCTTATTTGTAAAAGCAAAATATACAAATACTGTTGGCTCAATTCGTACAAAAATACTTTTTGAAAACGTTTATCAAATGACTGCAAATTATGTAAGTATCTCTCAAGTTTCACTTGATGGTAATATTGGGATCTATTTACCACATTGCATAAACATAAAAAGGTTCTCTATAACTGTCATTCTCACCACTAACAACAGTGTTAGTGGTGGGGCAAGGAGTAACTGTTCTTTAGTTTTTTAAACAGTGTACATTTGGATTATTTTCCCCACTGAAAATAAATATTTAAGAGTGATGGAGGAGGGAATACTATTTATACACAATATTAATATGAATATATATTGATATAAATACACATTTTACACTTTTAAGAGAGGGTATAAGCAATAAATAAATTAATTAATTATTGATTTCACAATAGTAATTAGTTTGTAATTAGTTACTGGTTAGCCTCAATATCAGCAAAAACATTACAGTAAAGTTTACACTTATATAATGCCTTTCACAGTGGAAGGATGTCTCAAAGTTCTTTACAGACCCGAACTGAGGGGGAAGGGGTGATAGGAGCGGAGTAAGGTCAAGGATAGGCAAAAATAATCAAATGCACAGTCGCAAACATGTGTTAAAAGGCTTGAAGGGGGGGCAAGGTAGAGGGACACCAGGATGGATTTTCAGAAACAAGAGCAGAATGGCTGAAAGCTCATTCACTGATGATGAGAGGGCGCGTATCTGTTTGGGACATGAAGCAAGCCACTGCTAGCTAAGCGGAGGGAACGGCTGGGTTAGTAGGGTTGTAGGAGGTCGCAGAGGTAGGGTGGGTGAGGCATGGAGGAATTTGTACATGTAGACAAGGTTTTCCAACTCGAAGAGCAAATCATACCTCTAGCAACAGCACTGACATCCTCATAAAACCCAGCAATCAGTGCTACGTGACCAGGCCTCGACTCAGTGGGAACTCGTGTGTGAGACACACCCCAACTTCCACTACGCTCCACCACATTCCTACACACAAAACAATTTAGAAATGAAGGGGAGGGGGAATATTAAGACTAACCCAGCCTGCAAGGCAGAATATTTATTTTTACCCTTACGCAACACTAAACAAAACCTGAGAAATATGTTGGCACTGTATTATTTATAAATCAAAATAGCTGACAATTTTTTTTGTTCTTGTCGAATTAACACTGTTGGATAGGATTGTTACTCAGTCATATCTCAGTGAATGAACTGGTTGGGCTAATTCAACTCCGGTACAGTGCTGGGTAATTTTTTTCAATGTCACTTTCCCCAATCAGCACTTAATGAATTCACAATAGAGATAAACAGGAAAAATAATCAGATTGTAATCATAATTCTTCTATGTACTAATTATTAAAAACAATTCTGATCTGGTGGCAGAAGTGCTGGAGCTCCATCGTGTGGTAGGTCAGAGTTGTGCAACATGGGTTTGTGACCCAAATATACTTGTTTTTTTTAAGTACCAGCAAGATCATACACTGGCATGACAGACACAGACTTGCAATGCCATTTCCTATAATATGCTTCATGCATGCACAGGCCTTTGAAACTGTTTCCCTATCACTACTAACCTTCCTTAAGTTGAATACTGACAAGACAAAGCCATACTCCTTGGCTCCCGTCAACATCTCTCCTGCGGCTCTAACCACTTCAACTCCCCGGCCTATCCCAAAGACTTACCGAACCTTGTATAACCTAGGCGTCAGGTTCAAAACCACAGCCCCTTCCTATCCCACATCCGGTCCCTGACCAGGGCCACTTTCCTCCACCTCCTTCACATTGCACACCTCCAATCATACCTCACACCCCCAACACAGCCTGAACCCTCATCCAAGCTATTGTCACTTCCCACCTTGCTTATTCCAATGCCCTCCTCGTTGATCTCCCCAGTTCCACTATCCATGAAATCCAACTAATTAAAAATTCCACTGTCTGTATATTTACCCGCACTAAATTCCTTACCCCAAGCACACCAATCCTGGCCGGGTTCCACTATCACAGAACGGATTGACATCAAGATCCTCCCACTGGTCTACAAATCCTTTCTTACCCTGGCATCTCCCTACCTTGCGACCTGGTTACTCCCCACTCCACTACCCATGGCTCCACTTGACTGACTCCAGCCTCCTGTTTGACTCTCGTCCCCTCCGCTCCACCATCAATAGCTGTGCTTTCAGCCACTATGCTCCGAATCTTTGAAACTCTCTCCCTCAATCTCTCCACCTTTCTCCTTCCTTCCCCATGTTCAGGTTACACTTGAAGACCTTCCTCTTCAACCGTGCTAACAGTCACCTTCCCTTCCTTTGCTTGGCGCCAGACTCCAGCATTGTCAAGCTTTCCAAGACACTACCTTGTGTGAAGGGCACTATATAAATGCAAGTTGTCGTTCTTGTTAAATAATGGAAGTGGAACCATGACATGTTTTGATATTGAGGCACATCTTTTGGGCTGTTTCCAAAAACAAATTAGCATTATACCACAAGAAAAATACAATTTCTCAATTCATACCATTCCCAAGGTATACAGTAATAATAATAATAATAATAATCCTTGCATTTGATATAGCGCTTTTCACGTCGGGAGGACGTCCCAAAGCGCTTCACAGAACACACTGTAAAGTGAATTGACTGTATATTTGTGGGCGAACGCGGCAGCCAATTGCGCACAGCAATGTCCCACAAACAGTATTGGATTTTATGATGCTAAAGTGGATTAACATTTGAATCAGAACTGTATGCTACTTATTGATGACACACTTCTAATGAATTTATCGCTCAAAGAACAAAATCCCTTACCAAGGAGCAATGATTCCCACACATTGAGCTCTTGATTTCAATCATGCCATTGTCAGCAGTTGACAAACAAAACAGAAGTACTTCACAGAAATAAAAAAGATACAATACTAAGTTTTATTCCTTTTTTAAATAAGATTCTGTCACTTGCTCTAAGGACATTAGAATAATCCTTTATACCTCTCTAAGCTTTTTTTAAAAAAATAACTTTTTCTACTTTCAAAAGCTGACCTTTCTTCTTCCGCAGAGATTATTGTTGAATGTAGAAGTAACTTTTTTTAAGGAAATATTTTTGCAGCCAAAAACATCAGGTAAAAGACTGAAGATGCCACAGCCATATCGTAAAAGCAACCCCCATCAATCTGCCCAGATGTTTGTGTCTGATATAGGAAGTGGAAGTCACATTAGCAGGCTTATTTGGATCATACCCTAACATTTAATGATGTTGTCAGCAGTCTTATGGCTTTACATCATCCCCTTAGCTTCTGTAATATTCCATGATTTTATTACAATAGTTAGAAAAATAGATGGAAATGACTTAAATGAGCTAAGTGAACACCTCACAGCCAAGCAGGCCATGAATAGAGGCCGGAGGAGGTCCACTAATGGTCCTTGGCCCTTGAATTCTTTTTCCGTCTGTGTTTTTAAGATGTTGAACAGATTGTTCAACTAGATTGTTCAACTAAATACACATAAATACACATACCTGAGGAACGGTGAACGCGTTTGCCCTTGCTCATCCAGCTCAAAAAAGGTGTCTGCACGTAATCCATCGGCAACAAAGAAGACAAGACGCTTAGCTGGTGGGGGCAGTGGTGTTTGATGAGGAGTCATTCCATGCACCAGTGGAGAGGTGAAGTAGATATCAAAGATGGAGGCAAAAAACACAACATGCACCAGCAATCCAATTAAGAAAAATGCCAACATGTTTAGAGATATATAGGTTCACTCCTCCAAAGACTGAAAATCAAAACAGAAGCATGAGTACATTCTTAGTGAATTGCTCCAGGTACGTAATATCCCCCGCTTCCCTCGAAAGTTAATTGTAAGAATTGGCAGGTAAATAAAAACACTATAAATAGTGATAAAAATTGTGATACTAGGGTTTCTAATTCCAATGCGTATGTATTAATTAGCACTAGAGGTGTTAATTAACAAATCACAACTCCCACCACTTAAGCCCTTTCAAAAAATTAGATCAGTTAAATAAACATAGAAAAGGTAGCAATAGTCCTTTGAACTGATTTTAATGTTAAGAACTTTAAATAACAGCAACAATTTGCACTTAAGAGAGCACCAAGGTGAACGTCTCAAAATGCTTTATAAAGGTCAAAAGGCCCCAGCTAGGAGAAATAGGGCGTAGACAAAGAGATAAATTTGTAGATGATCAATAACAGGGAGGAGTGAGACAGGGGGCCTTTGGAAAAGAATTCCAGAGAGCAGAGGCAAAGTGGCTGATTGTGGGGCAGAGTGTGCAGGGATATGAAGCAGGTCAGAATTGGCAGAGGTGGACAGAGTTGTAGCTTACAAGAAATCACTGGGATATGTTAGGGCAAAGCCATAAGGTAATTTGAAGGTGAGGATCCTAAATTTGTTCAGCGGGGGGAGCAGCGGAGCTGCATGAAGATGACAATAATGCACTTGCGAACATAGTGCTGGAGAGAAGATAATATTTTGAATTATATAGAACCTGTGAAAAGTGGAGCTGGGGAGGCCAGGGCACACGGCATTTGAAAAGTATGCAAAATAAATATGCCTGACATCATCCGCAGACATGGGGTTAATTTCCATATGTATGCGGATGACACCCAACTCTATCTTTCTGCCTCCAACCTCAACTCCAGGACTACTGGCGTCCTGACCGACTGCCTGTCCGACATCAAGTCCTGCACAAGGGACAACTTTCTCCAACTCAACGTCAGCAAGACCGAGGCCCTCCTGATTGGCTCGCGCCAGCGCCTCCGCACCTCAGGCACTGACAGCATCAGCATCCACGGCTGCACACTCAACCTCACTAAGCCAGTCAGGAACCTGGGTGTCTTGTTAGACCCTGAACTGTCCTTTCTCCCCCACATCCGCGCCATGACCGGCACTGCCTACCACCACCTCCACAACGTTGCCAGAGACCGCCACTGCCTCACCCCTCAGGCTGCCGAAACCCTCACCCACGCATTCGTCAACTCAAGGCTCGATTACAGGAATTCTCTCCTCATCGGCCTTCCCAACTCTTCCCTTCACAAGCTGCAGATCATCCAAAACTCTGCAACTCGTGTACTCTCACGCATCAGGCTCCGTGACCCCATCACTCCCACCCTCGCCCGACTCCACTGGCTCCCCATCCCCCAGAGGACCGAGTTCAAGATCCTTGTCCTCACCTTTAAGGCTATCCATGGCATTGCCCCCTCCTACCTCTCTGACCTGCTGACTCCCTACCAACCTGCCCGCTTCCTCCGTTCCCTCCCGCTCGAACCGCCCTACCATCAGTGGCCGGGCTTTCAGCCTCTCTGCCCCCACACTCTGGAACTCCATCCACGGTCCCTTCGCCTCGCTTCCGGTCTCAAGACCCTTCTCTTCGACCGTGCCTTTGGTCTCCCTCCCACCTCTCTGCCTTCCCTCACTCCTACACCACCCCTCCCCCATGCTTGGGCCCTGACACCTGACTGTTCAGCGCTTTGGGATGTCCTCCCGACATGAAAGGCGCTCTGTAAATGTAATTTTGTTGTTGTTGTTGCCTTCTCCAAAAATACTGCTAGCTGATCTTTTTTATGTCTTTCACTAGCCAAACTGGAATGCCAGACCACAACAACAACAAAATTACATTTGTAAAGCGCCTTTCACGTCGGGAGGACTTTCCAAGGCGCTGAACAGTCGGGGATCAGGAGCTGTATTAGAATAGAGTCTAATACTCTATTCTAATAATCTCTCATTAAGCGAGAGATGAGCGAAGGAGAGAGAAGAGGGAAGGCAGAGTCAAAGGTGTAAATGGTATAGACTGAAGCAGACTTGGGTAGAGAGGGAGAATAATAAACAGACGTTGTTTATAGAAGCACGCAATTCAGCCTAGTTTTGCTCAAGAAGGCCTATTATAATAATAATCTTTGCATTTGATATATCATGTTGAAACAGCTCAAAAAACTTCACAGGATTTACTGTAAATTACAATATTACAACTGCACATTGCTAAAGGTACTACACTCGACAGCAAGAGTAATTTCCTCCTCGAATACCTCAGGCTTTGCTTAAACTTCCAGTCATTTACTGAGATGTTTCCCATCTTACAATTAGAAAGTGCACACTTAGTTATCATAATTGCACCATTATTCCATTTAGACGCCATAAAAGGGAACAATTCACTTTGCAATGTCCCTTAAGATTCCTTTTACTCCTCAGGTGCTCATGTAGTTCCCTTTTGAACAATTATATTGCTCCAGACTCGATTGCCACTCGTGGTAATTAAGTCCAAACCCTAACAACCTTCTGAGTGAAGAAATTCCTTCTAACTATGATGCAAAAGATATTACGTCATATCTAAGAAAAAATACTATAGGACTTTGTATTGATACGTGGTTGCCTAAACTCTGAAAAATGTATGGAGTTGTTATATTTGTGGTATCTGTCAAGCAGCCAAGAGAGTCTGATGCATGCATAAATGTTTAATTGGAAAATGCCAACATAAATCAAATAGAATTAACAAACACTAAAAAGGAAACTTAAAATCTGTATTTTTAGATCCTGAATTATCTATTTTAAGAAGAGTAATAATTAACATTTTATTGGCAGTCAAATTATACTACTGTTAAAAGCCACCGGACAAAAAATTCAGGGTAAGAAAATAACTTTGAAAAAGACAACTGTATATTTTGCGGGCGAAATGCAGCAGCGAATTGTGCACAGCAGTGTCCCACAAACAGTCGTGAATTGAGTGACCACGTTTTTAATTTTTTTTATAAAGGGATTATAAAGTTATATCTCTAGAAAGTAATCCAACAATTGACTAACAACTGGGTTCCTATTTACTGCTAGGTAAATAGTCATGTGGAGTAAGGAAACTTGCCTAAGGTTTCACCTTGCCCAGAATCAAACCTGATAATCCAGAACTCTGCAGCCTGAGTCCTCTCCTGCACCAAAATCCGTGACCCCATCCCCCCCCCTCTCCCAATTCCATGGGCTTCCTATCCTTCAGAGGATCCAGTTCAAGATCCTGGTCTTCACATACAAAGCCCTCCATGGCCTCGCCGCACCCTACCTCTGCGACCTCCTAACCCCCTACCAACCCCCCTGTTCCCTCCGCTCAGCCGGCTCTGGCCTGCTCCACGTCCCCCGACCCACCCGCCCCACCATTGGTGGGAGAGCCTTCAGCCACTCTGCCCCCAACCTCTGGAATTCCATTCCCCAGTCACTCCACCTCGCCCCTCCTTAGCCTCCTTCAATTCCCACCTCAAGACCCTCCTCTTCAACCATGCATCGGCCACCCCCCTCCCGCCCCCCGACTCCAGCTCATGTCTGAAATGCTGTACACTGTCCAGCGCCTTGGGACGTCCTCCCGACGTGAAAGGCTCTATACCAATGTAATCTTGTTGCTGGTCCTCTCCCTTGCAGGACAAGTGCTCTAACCAATATGCTGCAGGATTCCATATACGGTGCAGGATTCCAGGTAGGACATTGTTGGAGGTGAGGAAATTGTGGATGAGGGCTTTGGGATGCACTTGGGGTGATTTAGAGGTGGGCAATTCAAAAAAATTATCTTGTTGTCTTGGCCAACCAGATAGATTAATCTTTCACTTTATCAGGTCTGTGGGGAAGTTGGCTGTTGCATAATTTACAAATGCACAGTCACTACTTTACAGCAATTCGTAGAAGTGCTTTGAGACATTTTATTGTTATAGGCACTAAATCAAATGCAAGAATTATTATGGAACCCCTGTACTCCTTTCTGCTTCTCAGAACTATGAAGATTATTGCATGTTATAATGCGTTCCTCCAACTGACTGTGACACCTCTGTAACATTTTCCTTTTGTAGCCAAGAGGATACCAGATACCTTACCCAGCATTGTTCACAGCCTGTCAGTTGTAATAGTAGGGCAAAAGTTACCACACAAATTTACCTTAACAATGACTTTCATTTCAGGAGGGCATCCCAAGGCACTCAACAATACTGGGTTGGCATTTGAGCTAAGTGGTGGGAGCCAAGTGGAGATGACCAAAAGCACAATCAAGTAGGTATTGAAACAGACCTTGAAAAGGTGAGGGAGGGAGCGAGTCGGAAGGACTCTAGGATGGTGTTCCAGAATGGAGGCGGATAGGTTGAAGCCTGACCACCGATAGTGGGACAGGTAGGTTTGCAGAGTCTAGTGCGGGAAAGGACACAAGCTGCAGGATTCTGGATAGTTTGCAGCTGATGTAGGGAAGCACTGGGTGGATTGGTGAGCAGACGGTTGACGTAATTAAACTTGGACATGAATGGATGAGGTGATCGGTGGCCCGAGGTACAATACAATATACGTTTATGTAGCAACTTTCACGTCAGGAGGACATCTCAATAAGACTGCAGTGCCATTTGGGCACCCAAACTGGGTGGGAGGAGTGCAGAAAGTAGAACAGCACTGAGAGCTTCTTCGACAACGCGGTCCCACAAGAACGGGAGCCCTCTCACCGCCGCACCGAGATCTCAACGCTCTTATTCCCAGGATTGCATCGCCCAGTGCTACACGCAGGCAGGGTCAGCACTGCCACTGATATCGCTGTCTGGCGAGCTTTCCCTCTGCTTGTCGAGCTGGAACCCTCCCTCCCTGTTGAAGCTCTGGCTGTAGGGTTAATGAACCCAACAGCCATCTTGCCTGTGAGGCACCGAGCGCATGCGTGAGCGCCCTGTACGAGGGAGGAGCCACGAGCCTGTTAATCAGCACCACTGAGCTCAGCGCGCCTGCGCACCCCCGAGCTCAGCGCGCCTGCGCGCCCCCGAGCTCAGCGCGCCTGCGCACCCCCGAGCTCAGCGCGCCTGCGCGCCCCGGGCTGCCGGCAGTGACAGTTGGGACGAGTAAAAACCCACACTTCACCAACGCACCGCGCACGGAGACCCGGAACCCTTAACGCACCCGCAAAGAGAGAGAGAGAGAGAGAAAGAGAGAGGGAGATTTTTGGGGTACAACAAGAAGCGGAGGGAATCGCCGCCCTGCGTCTGAGCAGCTGCTCACCTGCCTGCTGTCAGGGAGCTCGAGCGGCGCACGGCGAGTGACGTCAGCCAGTGCGTCGCGTCCCCAACTAACGTCCGTTTGACTGACGGCGCGATCTCCCGAGAGAGAGCGAGAGAGAGAGAGAGAGAGCGATCTGAGCGAGACCAGAGGGGGCGGCGCCAGGGTGACCGGGGTGGGTGGGTCCACCGATCGACAGGGGCAGCGCGATTGGTGGCTCCTGGCCGTCAATCAGGCCGGGCTCGGCGGGGGCTGTTCAATCGCGCGATCCGGAAGACAAAAGGGGGCGGGCGTTGGGCGTGACGTCGCGAGACGGTGGGGGCGGGTCAGTCAGTGGGGAGGAAGATGGCGGCGTCGAGTGTCAACCCGTTCCTCAGCGACTCGGAGGAGGAATCGGATCAGAAGCGGACTCGAGGCCGGAGGCCGGGCGGCCCGGGGCGGGAGGAGGAGCCGCCGCCGCCGCCGCCGCCTGTGGCGGGCGCTGCCGCCTCGGTGCCTTCGCTGCCCCTGTCGCCGCCGCCGCCAGAGGTGGTTGCAGGCGGCGCTGGGGGGGTGCGAGCGGCCGCCGGGGAGGCGCTGGTCTCCGGGCCCGAGCCCTCGAGAGTGCCCCTGGACACCATCGCCGCTCAGCTGCTGAGGGACCAGTACATCCTGAGCGCCCTGGAGCTGCACACCGAGCTGCTGGAGGCCGGCCGCGAGCTGCCCAGGCTCCGGGATTACTTCTCCAACCCCGGGAATTTCGAGAGGCACATGTGCACCCCCCCCAAGGACCTGGCCCCGGCCCCCGGGCCACTCAGTGAGTAAGACAGGGGAGGGAGGGGAGGGGAGGGGAGGCAGCAGCAGGAGGTGAGGAGGGTGGGGTGGGGTGGGGGGGGATCCAGAGAAGAGACTCGAGGGCAGCGATGAAGGTACACACAGACCCCACACACACACACACACACGTTATTTCACCTCTTCGGATCAGTAATGTGGCCAATTATTCCCACTCAATTATATAACACCGGGGGAGGCGTTTGGTACGTTAGGGGCTCTGATGGTCTCTCCCGCACCATCTGCTGCTGCACTTTTCGGTTGTATCCTTACCCTCAGGTGAAGTGTCGAGTGGGGGAGGTGGGGGGCGCCGACAGAAGCTGCCGTCGACATGGCTAAAGGGGCGTCGCATTTCATTCTCGGGTTTGCCGGCACAACAACAACAACAGCAGCAAAATTACTTTTGTGCCGCGCCTTTCAGGTCGGGAGGGCGATGCCTTCGTTGCCTCTAATGCATAACTCCAGCGGTGGTTGAATCAGCTGCTCACTTGTGCGATTATATACAGCAGTGACGGGGGTTCAATGTTGTCCTATATATGAGCCCATACAATTCAGATTAAATGGCAAAGCATTCGCCTTGATTTTGACTCGTGTTCTACAGTATATAGTGAAAGAGCATTGTGCCCTTACTATATCTTATTTCCTTTAGCTCTATCTGCCTTACTTTCTGCAGTAGATGACCCATCACCCACCCTAGAAGTTCATCTTTGCGGTGTTTGTAGTGAAATGCTGAGCCGGAATCTTTTTCATTGTTTTGGGGCCCCAATGTTGAAAGACTGGTTTGTACACATTTCCAGTGTGGTGAAAACATAACCTGTCCAAGGAATGTTTTCATGTTTAAATAAAACTTTTTAACTGCAATACATAAAATGAATGTTACTGTAGGATATCCAATATTCAGGACTGAATTATTAATTTTGTGGTTGTATCACCTTTATCGTAGGAAACCGAATAAATGAGCTGAAGATAAGCAATATATGTAGTTTTCCAGTTTTTGATGAAGTACTTGTCCATCTATGGGAATGAGTTTTTTTTAATCAAAATAATACTCTACTGCCCCAAATAAATTTATGTTGCTAAAAGATGACACCGATTTTAATAGAATACTTCAGATCTAAAAAAAATAGTTTTCATATTTCACTGATTTATTATGGATACCATTATGGAGAGAGTCAAGATTCATTCTACCAGCAATTACTTTCTGAATTTGGTACCAGGCTGAAGCCGATCTTGAATGGGATTTTGCTTCTGGATTAATCACTAGCAAATTAACTTTGCTGAGGTTAAATGTGATATGCAAAGTATTGCGTGCTGAAAGTGAAAATAGGAACCATGTGTCTTGCACTAATGGAGTGGAACTTTCCAAAGGGAAGTGAAAGGTAATTCATAGATGTTAGATGCCTTGCTGGAGACCAGATTCAACAACAACAACAAAATTACATTTGTATAGTTCCTTTCACGTTGGTAGGACGTCCCAAGGCGTTGGACAGACAGAGATTCGGACCCAAGCTCAGGGTCGGGGTGGGTGGAGGGCAGAGGGGGAAGCAGGGAGATCAAAAGCACGGTAGAAGAGGAGGGTTTTGAGAAGGGTCTTGAAGGAGGCAAGGGAGGGGACGAGGAGGAGGGACTGCGGGATAGAGTTCCAGAGGGTGGGGGCAGAGTGGCAGAAGGCCTGCCCGCTGAGCGGAGGGACGAGCAAGATGGTAGGGGGTTAGGAGGTCGCAGGAGTAGGGAGGAGCAAAACCATTGAGGGTTTTGACGGTGAGGACCAGGATCTTGAACTGTATCCTCTGTGTGATGGGAAGCCAGTGGAATCGGGCGAGGATGGGAGTGATAGTCATGGTGCTTGGTGCGAGAGAGGACAGGGGCTGCAGAGTTCTGGATGATCTGCAGCCTGTGGAGGGAGGAGTTGGGGAGGACGACAAGCAATGAGTTTGTATAGTCGAGCCTCGATGTAATGAAAGCGTGTATGAGGGTTTGGGGGGCTTGTGGTGTGAGACAGTGGCGGGGCCGGGCAATGTTGCTGAGATAGGAGAAGGCAGAGTGGGTCATGGGGCAGATGTGGGGTAGAAAGCATAGTTGAGTGTCAACAAGCCGCCAAGGTTCTGGACTGACTTAGTAAGGTGGAGAGTGCAACCAGGGATGGTGATGCTGTCAGCACCTGAGGTGAGGAGGCGCTGACGGGAGCCAATCAGGAGAGCCTCGGTCTTGTTGACGTTCAACTGAAGAAAATAAGCTCTCATCCAGGACTTGATGTCTGACAGACATTCTGTCAGGACAGCAGTGGTCCTGGAATCAAGAGTGGAGGCAGAGAGGTAGAGTTGGATGTCCTCTGTAAACATGTGGAAGTTGACCCCTGTGGATGATGTCACCAAGAGAAAGCATATAGATATCGAAGAGGAGGATGAAGGACAGAGACGGTACGGGGACTCGAGGAGAAACCATTTGTGGAGATTCAAGCAGCAATAATCAAATTGAACAAGTTGCTGTCTTTGCTTGTCAAATCAATTTGAGTTAAAATCCCCAGGAGTTGTGCTGAAGCTGTAAATTTCTCCAGTCATACGTTTTGAGATACTGCATACGGTTTTGATTGCTGCAGCAAGAGTGGGGCTGCCTCAGCCCTCCAAGCTGTGCAAAGGAGAGCTACAATGCTAAACTGCAGTGGTAGATGGATGAACTATGACGAACAACTAAGATAGGGTTCCCTAGATGAGCAGACATCTCACATTAAGACATCTTGATCTCGCTTTATAAAGCTTTATAAAAGTTGTTCAATGGATAGAGAGAGTCAACCTAGAATAAGACTTTGGGATGCCCCAAGGCAGCATAACAAGAGGACACATGTTCATGTTTGTTCAGTTCAACATTAGGGTGAACTGCAGGAAGCATTTGTTTGTATTAGTTAATGGATAGCTGGACTAGTGTGCAAGGAATGATGGTTGAGGCCTTGATTAATTTTTGAAACATCTTGATGCTCTAATGAGAAAACAACAAGGTACATTTATTATGAAAACTGAAACTTGATGTAGTTGAATAATTTTACATGTCCAAGATTTCTTTTTCCACAAAAATTTGGTAGTCAGCATTTCATTTTTTTTTAAATCTTGTACTGCAACTAGTTTTATTGGACGTCTCCTACAACATGGGATTTTCTATATTCTAATAACCCAGTAATGTAAAATGCATCTTTCATCAGCGCACGACTATGCTAATTGTTATTGCTTCAATTCTTCATTGCTCTTTTCACATCTGTGCTACTGATTATGGGGGCGGGGGATAGACTGGAATTCAATCTGGGTCACTAATAATCATAGCGATTTAATTCCTTAAATGTCAAAAAGGGGAAACTCTAGGATTTAGCAGCTTTTAGTTAATAAAGGTTTCCTTATAATTAACCTAGCTTGTGCAGATGGTGATATGAGTAGCACCAAGATAAAACACTGACAATTTAATCCTTGTTTTGTACATAAAGAACAATAAGGAGACATGATGCAGTTCTTGTTTTTAGCTTGGATTATAGAAATAGCATCCACTAGGTAGAGATTGTTAACAGGTAGCCAATACCATCACTGGAAACAGTGAGATTTAATAATAATAACAATAATAATAATCCTTGATATAGTGCCTTATCACGTCTTTGAGACATCTCAAAGCGCTTCACAGCATATACTTTAAAGTGTGTATTTTGTGGGCGAAACGTGGCACCCAATTGTGCACAGCAGTGTCCCAGACACAGTCGTGGATTGAGTGACTAAATTATTAGTATTATTTTAAGATAAGTAAAGACAGGAAGTGGTACACGAAAGTGTGAGGGAACATAAATAATGAACTGCTTTTTTGGACAATGTTCCAAGCAATTTTTATAATAACAGAATTACTCAGAATTAAGCAATAAATACCAAAATTATGACAGCCACTAAATATACATAATTTTGGTTAGAAGCAGTGTTGAAGAGGGAAAGGTTGTATTATTGTGGAACTATTTCATTTACAAAACAAATGTGGATGTCAATTTTTTTGAATATTACAAGTGTCTTGACTAGTTCCTGATCAGTTCTGTATTACACTGACAATTTGACCCTGTGGTTACATCCTTCCTCAGAGGAAGAAGAGAAGATAAGGAGCATTGTTAGTAGGCAACTTTGGTGGATCATTTACAAATCAACATTGGTCGAGTCGAAGCAAAAAGGAATTCTGTTGCCTGGAGAGCAAATAATAATACAAGCCTGGGAGGGGGGGATCTCAGGGATAATGTACTCCCCAAAATATTCTTACTATGAATGCGTATTCTTGCACTCTGACCAGAATACACATTTGCATTATTAAACCAATTCTGTTACATTAAAATACGTCTGCCTGTTCAAGCTTATTTAATTGGGGCGACTAGGTACAGTACTTATAAACTAATGAAACCCGACTCTTGTAGTTTGATGTACCCTGAATCTCTGAATTTAAATGGTAGCATCTGAATTCGATATGTCATATGTTCTAGAATATATTGTACTTAATTCTCTTTGTTCCTCTCCTGTTTCCTCTACACCCCGCCCACCACCGATTAAAACAAATATTGAATTTGAGAGAGTTGTTTTTACTGTAAATTTTGAATGGTGTTCTTCATATATCTTCTTTGCTGATTTAACGCAAAGTATTGTGAAAAATTGTCCTATTTTGTGGTCTGGGGAGTGGAAATTTCTGACAAAATTACTTGTTAAGGATTAAATTGCAAACTGGGACTCTCTGCAGTAACCATAAGTACAACACTTAGCTTGTAGGAATTGTGCTCTGGAGCAATCTACTTCTTCAGGGTTTCCACGTGTCTGCGAGATGTACATCTGGTTAATCAGAGAAAGTCCCCATTTACAGTTCAGTATCAGTATTATCAAGCAATCTTTTTAGAAATTACAATTATGAACCATTTATCTTGCTGGGCTCAATGGTACATTCTTAATTTTGTATTAAATAAATAATAACCATGCATTTGCTGTGACATCTCAAAGTGCATCACGGGATTTTACTGTAAAATGTCAATTTGCAAGTAAATACAGAAGCCAATTTATGCAACATCCCACAAAGACCTGATTCCTGTTTATTTGCCCTAAAGTATGGTATTTCCCCACAAGCCGATAATTCTAGATTCTCCTTTATGCAGAATCTGTTAAATGTTTCATCTTTTGTGTTTCCTGAATAAATTTGTCACTGAGCTTTACCTTTCTAACATTCTAAAATTACCAACCAGCCCTTTCCATCTGCTCTGCAGGCACTGACCTGCTTTACATCCCCATCCTGCCAGTCACACCATCAGTGGTCAGGCTTTTTGCTCCACTCCTAAATCCCTTCTCCTTGCCCTTTCCCTAGCTTCCTTCAAGGTCCATCTCAAGTCCTTCCTCTTTGATCATGCCTTTGGTCATCTTCTCAGCCTCCCCACTTCATCCCCACCCCTCTTCTTTCCAACCTAACTCAGGTGCCAACCCTCGGTGTCCAGCACTGTGGGATGTCCTCTCGATGTGCAAGGCGCTATATAAATTGTTGTTGGAAAAACTGCCCAGACAAATATCACTATACTGAGTGTTTCTGAGGTGACAATAAAGATAAGATGAATATTAGAATATTGCTTTAATTGTTGTGAAGTGTGCCTTTCTGGTCTTCATTGTGCTTTTGGTGCTAAATAGAAAGTCAGGACTGGATGGCCTAGAGGTTGTACACCTCTGGGATCTGTATTTATATTCAGTCCAGACTCATAGGATGGAAGTTCTTCTGCCTATGAGTGAAATGGGTTTGTGAGATTCCTGTGGGTTTACAGGATACAATGCTCTTAATTTAGCACTAATTGATGACAGTTTATATTGGCCATCGGATGATCAGTGTGGGGACCGAAAGGTCACACTGAGCTGCTTCAGACGGTACACTTTTCTAAGGCTAAAACATTTGGGGGCAGCAAACCAGAAGCAAAAGTTGTTTTCTCCCCCCTTGACAGTAGTAATAGTAGGGTGCGCTCTATTCTCCACTGTTAACATGTTTTGCCTGGTTGAGTCCCCTCGGAATGACTCCCCTGTGTGTGTGTGTGTGTGATGGAGAGGTGGGGGTGGCGTGGGGGGGGGGAGTGTGGAACGGAGAGAGCGGTAAGCGGGGTCTCAGGAGCTGGACTGGCACCGGGTTGATATGCTTGGCAATGGAATGTCAGATTCGAGTCAATCTTCTGTGGCGGTCGGTCTTTTCAGCGCCTTGGGACTTCCTGCCAACGTGAAAGGGGCTATACAAATTTAATTTTGTTGTTGTTGTTTGTAGTCCTGTTCATGAGCCAGGCAGGTCCGCAGTACTCCAGGACCGGACCAATGACGGACCAGCCAGTCTGGCTCATCAAGTAGGAGGGCAGACCAGTCACTGGGAGCAGGGGGAAACTAACAGTGCTTTCAATGGCAAGCTGTGCAGTTTTAGCTGGTTAAATTCCAGCAGTACGCCAATGGCATCTCAACCTCTTAACAACCTGAGCCTAATACTCTTTGGAATTCGGTAAGCAGGGTGTGCCCCTCTGAAGGGAGAGTGGCATTCCATTCAGACACAGAAATTTTCATGTGAAGGTGACAAGACTTTATAGGCTTTAAGAGCAGGCTATTGGGACAGATTTGTTTTGGAATTTAATTGAAATTATTTCAATATGGGCATGAAAATAATGTTTGAATTATGGTTAAATGTAGACAGTAAGTTTATTACTGCATCCTGTTTTGTATTTTCCACTCAGCTCCATGCTTTGTAAATATGCATATTTGTTTGTATGTTCCAAAATAAAATTTAAAAAACTTTATAAACAAAACTAAAATTTGACTTCCTTGTTTCCTGTAGATCGAGCTGGCAGTATAAGTACCTTGGATTCTTTGGATTTTGCGCGGTACTCCGATGATGGAAATCGGGAGACAGATGAACGGGTGGCAGGTAAGCATTGTTGCACAAGTTTTGGGATAAACTCGTGTAGCACTTCTCTCACACTGTGCCCCTACAGTTTCTTCATACATGTGGCAGTACTGTGTGATTATGTTGCACTCAGGCTGAACAAATCTTTCATTTCAGGACTTTTTGTCTTCATGTATGGCAAAGCAAATCCTGCCTCTTTTTAACAGTAACTTAAACATTGTCAGTAAATGCAATAGTTTATCCTCCACAACACATTGAGGATTAAATTAGTGAAGAAGTGTACAGTAGGTAGAACTACTGTTTGTAGGAAACATTTCCTATCCCACCACGAATAACATTTGTCATGTGAACCTAAGGTTGAAGACTGGTTTCCTTGTCTTGGGCAGATATTTTATTGAAACATTCAAAGAATAGTTGTAATAGGACTGTAAAAAAAAGAAAACAGCAGATCTGATGCATCCAGCCAGGGCGAAACCTTGGGCAAGTTTCCTTACTCCACACGCCTAATAATAATCCCTCCAAAAAACCAAAACAATAATAAATTGGTCATTTTCAATCTACGACTGTTTGTGGGACATTGCTGTGCGCAATTGGCTGCCGCGTTCGCCCACAAATATACAGTCAATTCACTTTACAGTATATTCTGTGAAGCGCTTTGGGACGTCCTCCCGACGTGAAAAGCGCTATATCAAATGCAAGGATTATTATTATTATTATAAGAGCAAATTAATAAATCTGCTGGTTTTAATGATAGAATTGTAGACTCTTAGTTAAATTCAAATTTCAGTGTTGGTTGATATATATATATTACATATCTAAATATATATTGACCTATCCTTAGTGTTTTTGCGAATTTCAAGTCTGGTGAATACAAACCACCATAACAAACAAAAACACTGTACGAGAGGGGTCCATCTCCCCAAATCATTAAAATTATGAGTTAATTACAAATGGGCAGAAAGCAATCTGTGGTGTCTGCAGGTTGCTCAGTGCAACCTTCTATCTGAAAAAGAGAAAAAGATCTCTTCATGCTCCATTGCTGTTGTGGGTTTTGCAATTGGTGACTCCCACAGGATGACCGACTCCCACATTTGCTGACATGGTCTGTACGTGCTGATTCTTGAGTTTGCGATTGCATTATTGCAACAGGATGAATGTCTCTCTTATAGATGGTTTCTTCAGCTTCTATTGAGAAGTGCAGCTCAACGAGTTTCTGTGGTTTGCAGTTAAATGCTGCTTGGAAGCCTGTTGTGCAACCAGAATGTTTTGCTGGCATGATTGCTTACTACCTGGATTTTCCACAAGAATTCTAGTCTATACTGATCAATTAATAGGGATTACAAACTTGACAACGCCCAGTTATTTTGTTGATTACAGAGCTATTTATTTTAAAGAAGAAGAAATGTAGTGGGGTGTTGTTTTCTTTGAAGGCCGCTTTCTCTCATTCTACCCAAAATCAATCTGTCTTTCTGTCTACACATGTGTAGAAATTTTTTGATTAGAAATGTGCCTGATTGACCCTTTTTTAACCTTGAGATCTGTTAGTATGCATTTTCCATCACAAAGGACAACTCTGTTGCAGCAGTTGCATGTAAATCAGGGGACACCATAGTGAATCCTACAACAAGACTTAATTTCCAGAATTGTCTGGGTTTACTTCAAATTTCCAGCAGTCCAGTGGATTGAGAGGCACAAGTGCAAGTTTGACGCTGTTGTGTACTTCATGTTGAAAGTGCCATTATCTCTCAAAAGTGTCCAAAGGAGGATAGCTGTTGATAGTTATTTAATTCCAATAAAAACAAAGTGTTTGAATTTAAAGTAAGATGCACAAAAGTGGTAACTTGAGAATCCTGCAATCTGGTATACTGTTTGCTGCTCTCAGTTTGGTAAAACAAAGAGCAGGTTAGGAAACAGTTGTGCTGAACTTCTTGTTCTCTCGATCCTAAATTCCCGCTTGTCAGTTCATCTCAACCTCCCATTCTGATCTGCCTATCCTTAGCCTCCTGGAACAGGAATTGGAGCACTGTTTTACTTTATCCTCGAGAATACTGTCCCACAGGCCTGAACATAGGCTTTAATTCTTTCAAATCATTAGCTGATCTGGCATTTTCCAAGCCCTTGGATTTTTTTTTATAGATACACTGGAATTTACAGTTTTTGCTTGCCCTTTTATGTTTGTCGTACCGACACAATTCCCTTCAGCATTTCATGACCTATCAATAAGCATTTGGTGTTTAACTTGTAGTTTAAATTTATAAATTCCAGAGGCAAACCCGTCCTCTCCCTCATCCTTCCTCAGCTCAGACATTGGTAGTGAGAATGGAGGGGAGGACGAATTCCCATCTCCTGCACATCTGGGTATTTCATATTCAATACAGAATACATTTCTAAATCTAAACTTTAAACTTGATACAGAATGAGATTCTTTGTGCATATTTCTTAAGATATTTGTATTCTTGGTCCTGTGCTGCTTGCCCTTCTCTATCATGTATGTTAATTTATTTTGGTCCTCCCCACGCCCGTTCCAGGTCTGATGATGATACTCATCCTTTTCTTTCAGACACTGGCTGATGTAATGAGTATTTCCAGCATATTGGTTTTGTATTTCTGCTTCTCACCATTCCGCATACTTTTTTTATTTCTCTACAAGACGATAAGGAGAGTTTGAGTCCCAGTTTCAGTTGGATTAATTTCTGAAAAGCATGGATGTGGTCAATCTGAGGGTAGGGAAATTAGCCGAGACAGCCAGTTTCCGTGCCATTGAAACTTGGTTCCTATGAATTGTAAGGGCGATGATTTTGTTGGAGCAGGAGGTAGACTTCTTTGTGTAATGAATTGGCACTTCTGCAGCTGCCATTTCCCTTGGAGTTGTGTGGTACACACCTAACTAGAACATTTTTTAGTGGATCCCAAGTAATGCATTTTAGCAATGAGCTGCTCAATGAGCCCAATCCAATTATGTACAGCAGCTGCCAAATATATAAAACGTTTTATCATTTCCTCCACCACTGCTCAATTAACTTGTTATGGAAAGGAACTTTTGGCAAACAGCTCCAATCTGGAAGTTGTATCCAGCACTCACAAAGTAATCAAATTGCACGAGATAAATTGTTTGAATGGATGCTGAACCTTTTAAAACAAGCCCATCTGTATTGTTGATTTCCATGTACGAATTCAACCGTTGGTATAATATGTTACAGCATGAATTAATTTAAACATCCAGATTTTTGATTCCTTGTTAAAACTTTTCAAATGTGAGTTATTAATGCTTTGCATGATTTGTATGCAGCAAGAAATAAAGATTTGTCCAGCCAGCCATGATTTATGGATTTATATTTTATAAATTGATAACTGAATATTTGTGCCTGGGAAATATGATCTGTGCCAAGTAACCACTCCCCACCCATGTGAATTATTGACAATAAAAATGGAACCCAGCATATCCTACCTGTTTTGGATAATCCATCTTCGTTTTATCAGCATGCTTTACCTGTTGTGGAATACTTGGGCATTTTTCCAGGTTAGTTTTTAGGTATTGCAAAGTGTTAGCTGCTGTCAAAAACTCTTATCCCAGGCCGCCCACAGCACAGAAACAGCTCTGGTCAAAGCGACAAATGACATTCTCTCCACCTGCGACCAAGGCTCCCTCTGCCTCCTCGTCCTCCTTGACCTCTGCTGCCTTCGATAACGTTGACCATTCTATCCTCATCCACCGCCTCTCCTCTCACCTCAACCTTCATGGTCCCTCCGCCTCACCCCCTCCCTTACCTCCTTCAAGCCCCATCTCAAGACCCTCCTCTTCAACCGTGCTATTGATCACCCTGCTTCCCCCCCTGCTCTTCACCCTCCTCACTCCCAACCCCCAACTCGGGTCCGAAACACATACTGTTCAGCGCTTTGGGACATCCTCCCAATGTGAAAGACGCTATACGAGTGTAATGTTGTTCTTATTAACATGGATTCCGGCAAATGGCAAAGTAAGCCAATAAAACTAATGCATCTCTGAACAGGAAGTATTATTTTCATTTTATCTAAAATGGGAAAAAGTTTTGTACAAAAAGTACATTATGTTGAAGTCCAGTGTTTCATACCCCTTAAACTACCCATGGATTTGTTTGAGAATATATAGGTATAAATATGGTAGACCAAATGGAATCTAAAGATTCTTTTAATGTGTACAATAAACATATAAATGGGTTGTCAACTGGCTGGGAAATTACCAAATGCCGCTGAGGTCTTTGATATATAAATGAATATACTGTTATATTGAAATATAGAAACTCATTATCCAATTTCATAACCTTAATGACTTTAGCTGTCGTGCATTCTAACCTGAAGAATTCCATACATTGTAGCAGGGTTTTCAATAAATGATTTGGTTTCATATTTTTAAGTTGGGGCTCAACACTAACTTGTTTGAGCTGAAACATTAGGTAAGTGAGATTAAAAACATTTTTGTTGCCCCAATTATACTGTGCAAAGTTAGTGTAACTATCCTATATTTGCTACTTGCATATATGTTTTATAACATTTGTTTGTAAATATTTCTCCCTAAAGGTAAAAGTATACTGAACTTGTCCTCGTATCCAGATAATTGGTCACTTCAGAAACTGGATGTGCTGGTGAATTTGATGGATTTTACAGAGCAGTTAAAATCACCTCATGAAAGATTGCTGGCTCTGATATTGGTCTCATAGATATCAAATTGTTTCTTTGCCCTCTTAATGATTTTAGCAAACCATTTGGGCTAAATGCAATGTATGTTATGCTTGATTGTCGTAGAAGTTCATTTTAAAAATTGCTCTTGCCTTTCATCCATGATCTGTGACATCCGTTCTCAAAGGAGGTGAAAATGAGAAGATTCTTTAACAGGCAATCACAAAAAAAATTCTCCCGGTAACCAAATGTCTTGCAGGAATTCATTTTGACGAGAGCTACATTCAGAGCAGAGTTAGCTCTGGTCAGCTTGATGGTAGGGGTTAATGGTAGGAGTTGCTATCTTGTAACTCAGAGGAACAGGA